TTCAAGGATACCCAAATTCCCCTAAAGGTTCCCTCTCCACCCGTTCTGCCTCAGTGGTTTCAAACCTCTCCTTTCAGGGCTTTATTTGAATGGACAGTTCAACCTCTTACTCTCTCTTGTGGTTCTGAGGCACACACCCCCTCCTGCCTTTCCTTTATCTCCAGGGGCTCTCAGACTAACCCTTGAGATCACTCAGCTCCCCTCTCCTTTCAGAAAAATTCCAGGTTCTCCTCTAGAAGTTTCAAATCTCTCCCAACTCTGTTCTGCATCTTCCTGGTTGGTTTAACCAATCACTCGTCCTCGCCATTCCAGGGATTGATTCTCACCAGCGTGTCTGAGGGAAAATGGCGGTTTCGAGTCCCCCCTTCCTCTCCCACTTCTCCCTACCAGCAGATTCTGCGAAAGCACCAAATTTCCCAAGACCCACTTCTCCCTAGCTTAGCATAATGTCTGGGAAAACAACCAAAATGGCAGTTTTAACAATATGCCTCTCTCCACCCCCATGCACTTTTTCTGACGTGGTTTTCAGGTCTAAATAGTGGCTGTCACGGCCATGAATGCAATGGTTTGAAGCCACCACCATTGAACGTCCCCACGGTGGTTTCATGACGACCCTCCCCTGATTCCTCGCACTTTATTCTCCTGGGTGGTTTCAAACTACCCTCAGTTTCTCAGTGGCCATTTGTTGTGTCCCTCAGGGGCTTAATGACTCCAAGTCTGGGTCCTTCCCCTCTCAGACACCCCTCTTTCAGCTTAGAATTTGGGGAACATATATAGAAGTCACAGAATCCCATGAAAGGGAACGGGGCACGGGAGAGGGGTGTTTTTCCCGGTGCAGGGTTGTGTCTTTGTGTCTCCGTCTCTGTGACTGTAAATCCTGCCCTGCCCCACTCCCAATAAAAGCTTTGGTGTACAGGCTCAGGGGTTCTTGGCTGTGGGGGGGTCACAGGCATCCTGGCATCCAGCCCATCCATCCTCCCTCAGACTGAGGAGTTCAGGCCCCCAGCTCCTGCTCCTTCAGTTCCAGGGGGTTCAGACCCCAGTCTCTCCTCCCTCAGATTCAGGGGTTCAGACCCCATCCCCTCCTCCCTCAGACCCAGGAGTCCAGACCCCCAGCCCCTCCTCCCTCAGACCCAGGAGTCCAACCCCAGCCCCTCCTCCCTCAGACCCAGGAGTCCAGGCCCCCAGCTCTCCTTCCTCAGACCCGGGAATCCAGAACCCTAGTCCCTCCTCCCTCAGACCCAGAAGTCGAGGCCCCCAGCCCCTCCTCCCTAAGTTTCAGTATTCTCAGACTTGTCACCTCAAGCCCCAGGGCCCAGGCCAGCAGAGGGGTCTAGCTACGGGAATATGATATTTATTCGGTCTCAGACCTTGTTCCCTGATCACAAGGCAAGCATCTTTGTATCTTAGACTCTCATCCGGGAGGACTACTCTAGCTAGGCAGGACAGGAGCGTAGGGTTTTCCCTCACTGTGGGGATGTGCAGGCCGGCAGGACTCGGTGGGGCTCACACGAAGTTGTTGGGGAGCGTGGCCGGGGACAGGGCCTCCAGACGCTGCGGGCGGCCCCCGAGGGGCGGCGGGGGCAGCTTGGGTGGCAGCGGAGGTGTGGGTGGGGGCTGCTTGGTGGCAATGTGGGAAGGGACCCAGGCATCCGGTGCAGAAAAGTAGAGGTCGTAGGGGTCTTTCGGGGCGTCCAAATGCAGAACTGTGGGAGCAAAGGGGCGAGGTCATCTCCAGGCTGACCCTCCAGGCCCCCTCCAGGTCATCTCCAGGGGCCTGTCCCCTTTTGTGCGGCTGACCAATCAGGAGGCCGGAGAGAGGATTCCGATTCTGCATTTGAACTGAGTTTTCAATCAAAAGGGTGGGGGTCGCTGCAGAAACCGAGTGGCGAGTCGTCCGAGCTGCAGGGCGGAGCCTGCAGTGGGAAGTGGGGAGTGCAGGGCTCACGGCCGCGCACCTGGAGGGGCAGGGGCGGGGCCTGCGGGGACTGTGGGCCTGAAGCCGTCTCCGACCGCATTGGGAGGGGCACTGGACGTGTGTATGAAATTGCAGACAGTAGGGGGCTGGTCGCGGCCATGGAGAAGTCAGGGTTTTCACTGACCTTGGGTGAGGGACCTGCGCTTTTTGGCTGGGCGCCCTAAAGTGCCGGAAGAGACCGGGTTTTGGAAAAGTGCAGGCATTCCAGGGACAGGGCGCTCACCTGGTTCATCTCCGTCGTCCGGAAGCCGGTGGTGTGCGAAGGGTCGGTGTCGAGCTGCCCGGCGGTAGAGACACCAGAGCAGCACAAAGATGCCGATCAGCAGCGCGGTCCCCGCGAAGAACAGGCAGAGGGCCCCGCCCGCTGCGCCACGTGGTCGCCCCACCAGAGTCACGCCTGAAGGGGGAAACCAGCAATCTAAGCTTCTAACTCCCTCCTCTTTTAGACCTAGGGGTCCAGGCTTCTAGCCCCTCCTCCCTCAGACCTAGGAATCTCTGTTCCCAAACCTTTCTCCCTCGGACCCAGGAGTCCAGGCCCCCCGCCCCTCCTTCCTCGGACCCAGGAGTCCAGGTCCCCAGCCCCTCCTCCCTCGGACCCAGGAGGACCCAGGCCCCTGGCCCTTCCTCCCTCGGACCCAGGAGTCCAGGCCCCAGCCCCTCCTCCCTCGGACCCAGGAGGACCCAGGCCCCCTCCCCTCCTCCCTCGGACCCAGGAGTCCAGGCCCCAGCCCCTCCACCTTCGGACTCAGGAGTTCTCCCACCCCTCACCGGTCTCCTTCACTCGCTCCACCACGATGATCGTGTTGACTCCCTCACCTCGGCTGTGCCTCTGGGGTGCCCGCAGAGTGGCAGGGGCCAACTGATTTGGGGGCCCTGGAAGAGCAGGGGGACCTGCAATCCGGGCTGAGGGAGGAGGGGCGCTGGACCCCTTAGGGCCAGAGTTCTGGGGGGCCTTCGGCTCAACCATTCCTGGAGAATCTGAAGTGGTCAGTTTCCGGGGGTCGGGCTGGATAGCTGCAGCAGTTTCTGGTTTGGGATTCGGGGACGGCTCATTGAGGGCAGTGGCTTCATCCTTGAAAGGTGAAGGTGTTTTTGGGTAAAGACTAGTGGAGATTTGAGGGTTGGAGGTCCTGAGGACATCTGTTGCATTTTGATAGTAGGTTGTAGGGAATTCTCTTTGGGAAATTTCAGTGGGGCTGGGATTGTGGGTCACATGGGATTCTGGATGGAGGGTTTTCGAAGGGTCAGGATGGAGGGCCTGAAGAAATTCAGAGTTTGGGGTCTCAGTGGAGTTGAGGTCATGGGTTTCTGGGAATTTGGGGTCAGGGGTCTTGGTAGGATCAGTGTTTGGGGTCTCAGGGATTTCTGCATGTGAGCTTTCAGTGGCGTTAAGTTGGGGACTCCCTGGGGATTCTTGGTGTATAGTTTGCATAGTGTCAGTGTTTGGGGTCTTGGGAAATTCTGGGCCTGAAGTTTTGGAAGAGTTAGGTTTGGGGGTCTCAAGGGATCCCGGGTGTGGAATTTCAGTTGGGTCGGGTGTAGGGGTCTCAGAAGACTCTGGGTGTGTCATTTTGGAGAGGTTAGTTTTTGGGATGTCCAGGGATTCTGTTATTGAGGTTGCGAGTGAGTCAGCTTTGGGGGTCTCAGGAGACTCTGGGTGTAGGGTTTCTTGGAGGTCAGGGCTGGGGGTCCCGGTGAAGTCAAGTAGGGGGGTTTCAGGGGAAACTATATGAGGTGGTTTGGAAGGCTCAGGGTAAGCAGTCCCAGGGAATTCTGGGTTAAGGCGATCTCGTGTGGAATCTTCAGAAGCACAAGGGAAGGTCTCAGAGGGGTAGGCCACGTCCGGAAACCCAGAGCCCAAAGGAGGGGCTGATGGAGTGGCCTTGGACCTCGGCCCGGCGAGGAGGAAGATGAGGAAGAAGATCCAGTTGAATGGTTCCATAGCTCTGGGAGATACCTATAGCTGCGGAGGGGAAGCGGGAAGGAAGGGGTTAAGGCCGAAGCCTCCCGGAACCCCTCACACTCCCAGAGGCCACGCCCGAAGCCCCCGCAGGTGGACCCAGCCGGTTCGGGGCCCAGCTGGGCGCCAGGGATGTGGGAAGAACCTAATCGGAAGTCCCTGGAGGCTGTGGGGCGGCGACCGCGGTAGCCAAGGGAGACTGAGGCTTGGGGCTTCTTGAGAGTCGTAGTTAATTTCCTTATTTGTTTCACCAAGGGGGTCCTAGAAAAAATTGGGAAAGAATGACACCTCTCTAGGCCTCCAGGTCTCCTTGACTTTGACTTTGGAGGGTGACAGGCCTTGGAGGGGACATGGGATCATCTTCCTGAGGGCCCCCGGGACACCTTGACTCAACAGTTGTTTACACTACTGGAGGCTCCTAACGGCTGGGGGCTGGACTCAGGGATTTGAGGGAGGAGGGAGACGTTTGGGCTCTGGGCAAGAAAGTTGCTGGGGGTTCAGACTCTAGGGTCTCGCAGGGTGAGGGGGCTGAGGTTCCTGGCTCTTGGTACTTTAGGGAGGAGAAGGCTGGAAGTTCAGATGCCTAGAATTTTGAGGAAGCAAGGTTTGGGGGCTGGATTACAGGGGTGGAAGGAGATAAGAGGCCTTGGACTCTTGGTTCCTGAGTTAGAAAGGAATTGGGAGCTCTGAGTCCTTTAGAAATAGTGTCTGAGGGTCTGGGCTCTGCAGAGTTGAAGAAGAGAGCCGTGGTGCAAGACTCTCAAGTCTGTTGTTGAGGATGGAGCTAGGATTTCTGCATCTCCCGGGCTACTCTGGGCAGAGATGCCTAGGTCTGTGGTCGGGTGGAGGTGGAGGCGGCAGATACCTTGATGGGACAGGCTTACTTGAGGTCCTGGGGTCTCTTACCTGCTCTGGTGTCCAAGGTAACAGCAGATGAGCAGAGCTGGATGCAGAGAACGGTGAATGTTGCAGAATGGCTCTGGGCGGGGCGGTGGGAGGCAGGGTCTCAGGGGCACACAGATGATGCACCTGACCCCCTCCCAGGGGATTCTGGGAGCCTAGCGACAGACTTAGACTCTTAAAGAGACAGAAGTAAAGGACGTTGTCCCTGGGGTGGGGAAGGGAGTTAGAAACTGGGATGCTGTAGCGGAGATGTGGCCCCGTTAAACTATGTTTTTGAAACCAGTGGTCCCAGCCCTCTACCCTCTCCTACCTGGAAACCCAGTGGTCTCATTCCCTGGTACCCTCCTATTTCAAGTCCTCTAAGTTTCATCCCCCAGCTCCCTCCTACCAGACCCAGAAGTCCAGGCCTCTAGCTCCTTCCTTCCTCAGATCCAGCAATCCAAGTCCCCAGCTTTCTTCTCCCCCAGAACCTGGGACTCTAGGTCCCTGTGCCAACCACTGTTAGACTCAGGAGTCCAAGCATCTGCCACCACCCTCCTTAAGAGCCCAAGTTCCCACATCCCAGATAGCTGCTGCTCTGTAGGACTTCCAAGTTTTTCTCATCTCCTCCTCACTGTGCATAGAGACTCCTCTTTTTTTTTGAAAGAGAGTCTTGCTCTGTTGCCCAGGCTGGAGTGCAGTGGTGTGATCTCAGCTCACTGCAACTTCTGCCTCCTGGGTTCAAGCGATTCTAATGCCTCAACCTCCCGAGTAGCTGGAATTACAGGTGCCCACCACTACATCTAGCATAATTTTTGTATTTTTGTAGAAATGGGGTTTCGCCATGTTGGCCAGGCTGGTCTCAAACTCCTGACATCAAGTCATCTGCCCACCTCGGTCTTCCAAAAGTGCTGGGATTACAGGCGTGAGCCATCGTGCCTGACTGAGGCCCCTCTCAAGAGTCAGTGTGAGGAGGACTGGGCATTAATCTTTACAGCACCCTAAACTCCCCCCAGATAAGGGCTTAGATGCATCCTTAGGGCAGCTCGGGAATCCCGTCTCTTCCCCTCTTCATGCTCTCTCTGTGCCTTTTCTGATGTTTGCCTGTCACTTTTCCTGTCCTTGCACCCCTGCCACATGTACCTTTTGCCATCTCTTGCCTTTTCCTCCTCTCTGTCTCGCTCTCAATCTTTCTGGTGTCTCCCTGCTGGATTTATCTGTGGCAGCTCTGTCCAGCCTAGGATGTCCTTCCGTTTCCATCTGTCTTTCTGCGAGCCTTTTCCTTCATTCCTCCATCTCCATCTGATTGTTCGTTTCCGTCTCCTTCCCTCTCTGTTCTTGCTTTCTTCCTTTTTATTTCTTTTTGTGTCATTCCCTTTCTTACTCTATTTCCTCCTTGGCCACTCTGTCTTTGTCCTTCTCTTTGTGTCTCTGTTTCTCTGACGGTCCTTCCGCCAGTCTCTATTTTTATCCCTCTGACACACCCCCTGTGTCCACCTCTCTGTCTGTCTGTCTCTCCCCCTCCCTCGTCTCAGGTCCAGCTTTTGGTCCCAATTAGTTGGTGGCGGCCAAGGCATCGGCAGGTCCCCCACCCCCGGCTCCTCATTACCGCTGGCGGCTCCTAATGAGCCTGGGGAGGGGGTGACCCCGCGCCCCCGGCCCCCCGGCCTGCGTCACTGCTCGGCGCGGGGGCTGCGGAGGCGATATAAGGGGGCTGCCAGCGCCGCTGCCCGAGCCCACTGCGCGGTAGGGGGCCGTGCGGGAAGCTGAGGGTGGGTGCATGGTGGGGTCCGGGGTTCTGGGCCGGGATGCCGCCCCACTGAGCCCCTTTCTGGTTCTCCACAGGTGATGGAGGCCCGCCAGGTGTCCACGAGCCCTCGGGTTCGGCGGCTGCTGCTGCTCCTGCTGCTGGTGGTGCCCTGGGGCGTCCGCACTGTCTCGGGAGTCGCCCTGCCCCCCGCCGGGGTCCTCAGGTAGGTGCCAGGCCCAGGACTCCCAGGGAAGGGTGGGGACTTGGAGAAGTGGGAAGAGAACCAAAGAGAAAGGCGGAGGAAGACCCAGACAGGGGGACAGAAACCCAAAGAGAGGGTGACCAAGACCCAGCGAGAAAGAGACTAGCAGTGGGGAAACACCGGAGGGGGGTTTGCTGGTGGTAATGGTGCGGGAAACGGACAGAGAATCAGCAAGAGAAAGAGACAGAAAGACAGATCCTGAGAAAGGCGTGGAGAGGCTCGAAAGGAGTAGATGCAGAAAGGGATTCATCCTTTGAGCAACATTTATTGGGTTCTTGGTGCGCTCCTGGCCATGCGCCGAGCGCTGGGGGCGGACAGGTGCATCAGACTGGCTCTCAGTACCCAGGGAGTTTCGAACCTGGTGAGTAGAGGGGCAGAGACCCACACAGAGAACGAGAGAGACAGGGGGAGCCAGACCGAGCCACTCCACGGACAGGGCAGTAACAGGGCTTCGAGTTAGACAGCGGGGAGGACAGGCGGCGGCGAGCGCGGGTCTGGACGCGCGGTCGTCGCGTCTCTCCACAGCCTCCGCACCCCAGGACGGGCTTGGGTGGATCCCGCCACCCCCCGGCCGCGGAGGAGCCTGGCGCTGGCGGACGACGCGGCCTTCCGGGAGCGCGCGCGGTTGCTGGCCGCCCTCGAGCGCCGCCACTGGCTGAACTCGTACATGCACAAGCTGCTGGTGCTGGACGCGCCCTGAGCGCGCCGCCCGTCCCCGCTTTAATAAAGACCCTGCCGTGCGCTCCGGACTGCGACTCGTTCCTGTGCGACCTGCATGTGTGTTGGATTGGGGGGCGGGGCGGGAAAGGAGGGAATAGAAAAGAGACAGGACTCTGTGTCGGCCACTCTGGCATCTCTCCCTTCAGTTCCCTCTATTATAATCTTTCCTCAATTCAGTTTCTCTGCCTTGGTCTTTCTCTGTCCAGGCAGCTGGCTTCTTTCCTATTTCTGGATATTTGCTTCCCTACCGCCCCCCGCCCCAGCTCTGTTGTCTCAGTTCACTCTGGGCCCCCGTCCCACCCTATCCCCATCTCTGCCCCCTTTTCTCTGGTTCTCTGTAATCTCCAAGGTCTCTGTCCCCCTCTGTCTCTGCCCCCTTATCTGGGTCTTTTTCCTCTCTGGGTGTGTGTCCTCGTCTTTTTGAGTCCTTGTAGGAATCTCCCTATCACCCTCTTGGCTTCCGAGTCTTCTGCCTCCTCTCTCTATTCTCTTTCTGCCTTTGAAACTCTTCCTTCCCTTCTCCATTACTTTCTTTTTTCCTTTTTCCTCTGCCCGACTCCTTCATATCTTCCTTTTTGGTTTTTTCTTCCCCTCCTTTGGGTTTCTGTCTCTCCACCGGCTCTCATCTTTAAATTTCGCGGTTCCTCCCTCCCATCACTTCCACATTTCTCTCCAGGCACAGTGGAAAAAAGATTGCGGGGCTCTGGTGTGAGGCAGCCCTGACATCCAAACCCAGGGTCCTCCAAATCTAGCTGCGGCCTCGTATTGAGAACGTCTTCTTGACGTCAGTCTCTGTGCCTCCTGCTCTTCATCTGTTATGAGGAACCAATAAGATATATTTAATGAGAACAGCGCCCGTCACATAGAGAAACGCTTTTATTTGAAAAGGGTGTCCTCTTCTCACAGCAGCCTCCAGCAATTTTCTCAGGGTTTTCTGACTTCAGGCGTCTTTCTCGGGAGACCACTGCGGCGCCAGGCTGGAGCAGGAGGAGAGGAGAGAGGAGCAGACGTCAGGCTCTAAAAAGGACAGAGAAAGGGCGGGGAGATACCTGGGCCGCAGGTGAAGCGAGAAAACAGCCAATGAAAATCTGCATTTCTCCCCGGAGGTTCAGCTTGCCGTTCAGCTCCGCCCCTCAATGGTAACCATGGCAACCCGGTGGTCCGCAGAAGGCTAGAACACCGCGCCTGGGGCGCCTCTCGTGCGGACCGCGCTCTGATTGGTCTAAACAGGGTGGAGCTTGGGGACGTCTGCTTGCCGGGAAGCTGGGCCGCCGCGTGTGGTTGGCAAGGTCTCCCGAAATTTGCATTTTCGGGAGGCGGACCGAGCCCTAATTGGTCCTTGGGCTGTGGGGGCGGGACTGTTTCATCTGTCATTCAGATACCAAATAACAAATGAAAAACTGCATTCCTCAAAACCCTCTGGAGTTGGCCTAATTTTACAAACAAGACCAAGAGTCAGGAGGAATTTTCCTAAGTTGTTAGAGCTATCAAGAGACAAAAGGATAAATGGAACCCAGATATGTGCAATTTCAAAAGTCTAGACTTTTCCACTACTCTCATGGGTAAATGGAATTAAAAGGTTGATAAGCGGTTGTTATATACCAGGCACTCTTCTAAGCGCTGTATTTGTATTAGCTTTTTTTAACCTCACAGCAACCCTATGAAGAGCCTCCTCCTGTTTCCCTGAAGGCCTGGTAGCTGGGTACTGGCCTGGTCTCTTCCCATACTCTATTTTCTCCCCATCCCTTTCCGAACACTTGAGGTTTTTGCCCAAAATGGTGTCTGGAGCCTCCTCCCTCCGCAAATTCAGCAGTCCCCACACTTTCTGCCATCGCCCACAGGTGACAATACCCAGACCCCCTACTCCAGCCTGGGAGCTCAGGGCTCAGGACTCCAGCCTCTAAATGAACCGAGTCTTTCACTGAACCCACTCCTTATCATGGGTTTCCTAACTTGGGAAGGGTTCCACTGTCTACTAGTCACTGGGTCAGATCCCAGGGGCTGTCCTTGCCCTGCTCCTTTCGCCATCCTTTACAGCTTGTCAGTCTGCAGCCAGGTCAATCCCGCCCAGTCCTGCCTCTGCTCTTCCCTTCTCTCCACCCGCAAGCCCTGCCTCAGGCCTCCTCGTTCTCTCCCACCTGGACCACAGCCCCAGACTCCTCCCCACCTGCTGGGCTCCATTTCCATTCCCTTCATTCATCTCCTCTACAGGCCCTGAATGCCCTTCTTCCCACCCAGAGTTCTGCCTTCCCCTGCTCACAACCCTTTCATGGGCACTGGGGAATAAAGTTCAAGCCAGTGTTCAAACCCTTTCACGGGTTCTTGCCTGCCTCTCTTATTTCCCACCACTCTGTAGCCTCCAATCCTTCCCCGGCTCCAAATCTTTTCTTTTTATTTTTAAACCAGCAACAGGATGTTGGCCATGGCTTTCCACACACACCGGTCTCTTTTCCACCTCTATGACACCCTCCCTGGGCCCCTGCTGACTGAAATGCAAACCTTACCCATCTTTTTTTTTTGAGATCAGTTTTGTTCTTTTTGCCCAGGCTGGGGTGCAATGGTGTGATCTCACTGCAACCTCCACCTCCCGTTCAAGCAATTCTCCTGCCTCAGCCTCCCGAGTAGCTGGGACTACAGGCGTGTGCCACCACACCCAACTAATTTTTGTATTTTTAGTAGAGATGGGGTTTCACCATGTTGACCAGGATGGTCTCCATCTCTTGACCTTGTCATCCACCTGCCTCAGCCTCACAAAGTGCTGGGATTACAGGCATGAGCCACCTCGCCCAGCGTCCTTTTCTTGAGGTGAAATTTCCCTTTTGTTGCCCAATCTGGAGTGCAATGGTGCAATCTTGGCAACCTGCGCCTCCCGGGTTCAAGCGATTCTTCTGCCTCAGCCTCTGGAGTAGCTGGGATTACAGGTGCCTGCCACCACACACCTAATTTTTTGTATTTTTTCACCAAGTTAGTCAGATTGGTCTGGAACTCCTGACCTCAGGTGATCCACCAGCCTTGGCCTCCAAAAGTGCTGGGATTACAGGCGTGAGCCACCGCATCTGGTCCCGGAAGATTGTTATTTTATTTTTTTAAGATGGGGTTTCACCATGTTGGTCAGGATGGTCTTGAACTCCTGACCTCAGGTGATCCGCCCACCTTGGCCTCCAAAAGTGCTGGGATTACAGGCGTGAGCCACAGCGTCTGGTCCCGGAAGATTGTTATTTTATTTTTTTAAGATGGGGTTTCACCATGTTGGTCAGGATGGTCTTGAACTCCTGACCTCAGGTGATCCGCCCACCTTGGCCTCCAAAGTGCTTGGATTACAGGCGTGAGCCACCATGCCCGGCCCTGGAAGATTGTTCTTTACTGACTTAGGATGCAGTTAGGACTGGGTAAACCTAGGCTCCAACCCATGGGGTGGTGGCAGGACAGAGTCAGGATCCTGCTGGGGGAGGGCAAGGCAGAGGTGTAGAGAAGGTAGGAAGCAGAGAGAGATTGGGAGAAGAGGTATCCTAAAGCCCCTTCAAAGTAGCCTGGTGACGTGCCACTGCTGGTGTGTAGGTGGCTCCCAAAGTGTTTTCTTAGGTCCATGGCCTGCAGTATTTTTTTTTTTTTTGAGTCTTGCTCTGTTGCCAGGTTGGAGTGCAGTGGTGCGATCTTGGCTCACTGCAACCTCTGCCTCCCTGGTTCAAGTGATTCTCCTGCCTCAGCCTCAGAAGTAGCTGGGATAACAGGCGTATGCCACCACGTCTGGCTAATTTTTGTATTTTTAGTAGGGATAGGGTTTTACCATGCTGGCCAGGATCGTTTCAATCTCTTGACCTCGTGATTTACCCACCTCAGCCTCCCAAAGTGCTGGGATTACAGGCGTGAGCCATGGCGCCTGGCTGGCCTGCAGTGTCTTTCTGTGTGCATGAGGAGCATGGCAAGGCACTTTATCTGCCTTCCCCGAATGCACTGTTACTAGCACACAGGTTCTGCGTGGCTGCAAGGCAGCTGGTCCCTGGAGAGGTACTTGGCCTCCCAGGTCCCAGCCTCCCTTACAGTTGAGAGTGGTGGTCACACCAAACAGTCTGACTGGTGAGACAGACACAAGTCTGCTGGTGGCTCTGGGCAGGCGACTGCTTCTCTTTCATTATGATTATGATCTGAATCTACCCACTGCACACTGAGGCTACTGCCTCTCTTTATAAAAAGGAAGGGACGAGCTTCCGTCTCCCTGCAGATGTGATGTGGGAAGCTACAACTGCCAGCTCCTGAGCGTGAGGGGACGGGAGAATCACTGAGGCCCTGACCCCAAGGCAGCTGAGACTTCGCTGTGTGCCCACAGCTGCCCTTGCCAGGCTTGTTTTGTGAAGGAATAGTCCTTAGTGCTTAATCTGTGACTGGGGAAGTTTTGCTTTTGTTAAATGTCAACATTAAATAACTAGGAGCCTTCACATAAACCCAGTCCAGGGATGTGGATCCCCCTGTACGGTTTCTGCGATAAGCCCGTGCAACACTGGCCTAACATAGGGGATCCGAGCGGAGAGAGCGCCAGGGGATTTATTGAACTACACACTGTTCTGAGGGACAAGCAGAGCCTCTCACACTGGAGGGGGCTGGAGGTAACAGAGCTGGAGGTGGGGCAAGGTGGGAGGTGGGGACTGGCCCAGCAGCAGGACAGAGAGCAGCAGCAGCAGCAGCAGGCCCAGGACTGGAGCTGGGATCATTGGATACCGAGTGACCCTAGTGGGGAGGTGGGAGAGTGCTTAGGGCAGGGTCCAGGCAGCCCCTGGTCTTCCCAATGTCAGAACACCTTCTTCCTTCTGGAGGTGCCTGGGGGCACACCTGAGTCGCTGTGGGGGCAGGATGAGCTGGCCCCAGGGCCTCCTCCTGACTGGGACCAGCTCCTTCATCACAGGGACCAGGGCTTGCCGGAGATCCTGCTGGGCAGGGCTGCTGGGGGAAAGGAGGGAATCAACACTGGTTTTTCCTTGTCTCCAATTTCCCTCCTGGACCCCATGGGTCCTATTACCTCCTTGGAGGGCTTTCTGCGATGTCTCCAGAGTGAGAGTCTCCTAGAGGGATGGGGAGATCAGCCTGGAAGGACGAAGAGATGCATTTGAGGCACTGGGTTCTGGACTGAGAGGCCCTCAGGTCAGCCCACTGGACACAGTGACCACACAGAAGGTAGTGGAACTCAGGAGTTGAGTGAGCTTCTTTGAGACATGCTGCCAGGTTGGGTTCCCAGTTCTGCCAGCTTCTGGCTGAGAGCCCTTGGCATGTTACCACACCTCTCCGTGCCTCTCTTTCCCCATCTGCTAGCCAGGGATGTCCCCACCTCATAGGATTAACATGGAGACTAAATGAATGAAAAAGGCAGGCAGTGACTTGGACAGTGCCTGGTACATAGTGAGTGCTCAATGTCTGTATGAGCTATTCAATATCATCACCTCCATTTTCCATCAGATTCTGGAAGTATCTAAGCTCTTTAAGGGCAGAGACCACATCTTCTACAGGTGCCCACCCCCGTGCTGGACCTCATGCAGAATCCTGTTTTCCTGCCTATGCCAGAATCGGCAGGTGCTTTAATTAAAAACAGCCCATCATAGGCTGGGCATGGTGGCTTACACCTGTAATCCCAACACTTTGGGAGTCCAAAGTGGGCAGATCACAAGGGCAGGAGATTGAGACCATCCTGGCCAACATGGTGAAACCCTTTCTCTACCGAAAATACAAAAATTAGCTGGGTGTGGTGGCGCATGCCTGTAATCCTAGCTAGTTGGGAGGCTGAGGTGGGAGAATCACTTGAACCAGGGAGGCAGAGGTTGCAGTGAGCCAAGATGATGTCACTGCACTCCAGCTTGGCGACAGAGCACGGTTCTGTCTCAAAAAAACAAACAAAAAACCCCATGCTATTATAAATGGTATAAATTTAATTTTCTCATTGCTCATTGTTGCCACACTGAAATATGACTGATTTTTTATTTTGACCTTTAACCCAGCAACCATGCTGAATTCACTGATTAATTCTAGTACTTTATCTGAAGATTCAAAGATTAAAGTCCCAGCTGTTTCTCCAGGGGTCAGGCCCAACCCACTGTACCGCCTCATCCCTCGTGTCTCCCTGGAAGGGCCTCCCCTTACAGGTCTTTGGCCTTCCCACCCCTGCTTCTTTCTGACGCAGATGAGGATGATGATCAATAAATTAAAACAGAACACCAATCATGATCAGTATCTTCACCTCCAACGCCTGTTGTGCTAGGCAGGCACCCAGGCCCTTTACGACGTGGTCCTTAACCCTCATCCCAACCCTGGGAGCTAGGAAGAGATTATCCCCATGTGAGCGATGAGGAAGCTGAGGTGGATCCCCAGTCTCTGGGGCAAGGGAGTGGACTTTGGGGCCAGGCTGCTGGGAGCTGAGCATCCTGGAGGCAGCCATCTTGGCTGATTTGGACCCTGAAGAGCCCCAAGGGCCCTGACAGTGCCTGACCTACAACAGGCAGACTCCAGCCCAGCTCCTGCATTCCTCAGCTCAGAACCGAGGGCTCCTCACCTCTCCTTACCAAATTTATTTCCCCTTCCTTGCCTGAGAATCAAAATCCTAACTTCCACTGGGCACAGCTACTCTGAGGAGCAGAGGAGCCAGCCTGTGTGGCTGCAGGCAGGGGAGCTGTGGGCATTGTGCCCCCAGGGAATTCTGAGGCTGGCTGGGGAGGGCCAGCCCAACCTCCTCCGAGTGTGGGCGAATGTGCGTGTGCATTTATGCAATCCGTGGGTGTAGCCACGTCTATGAGGCCTGCCGTATGGCGACTGCAGCCTTGTGTGTGGCTGGAGGAGTCCCCTGGGAGCAGCCTGGCCGCCCACTAGCCTCCAAGCCACCCCCCACCTCACTATCGCTCTGTCTCATTAGTTACAGCAAGGGCCTTGTTATCTCTTGGCCAAATGATTTTCCTCTCTGCTCCTGAGGGGTCTGAGGCTGGGGCTTGGGAAAGAGTTGAAACAATTGAGCCTCTGCGGGCTTGGAGTGGATGGGGACCGGGGAGGGGTTCTGGGGACTGCCTACCGTGACCTGGCTCGCCGCAGCCTCCTCTTCCTCTCTTCTGGTTAACCTGAGGACCACAAAGTCACTGCTGGCATCCTCCTCTTCTCCCTAGTTCCCTTTGCCTGCTACAGGCTGGGAGGGAAGCCTAGGAGCAGGGGTCTTAGCACAGGCCAGGCAGCATGGAAGGGCCTCAGGGGTGTTCTGCATATGTATTTTTCAGGGGAATTTTCACCAAATTATTGAAAGGGTCTTTGAATGCCAGAAGAATAAGGGGCCTCTTCATCTCAGATTTGCTTTCTCAGCCACTACTTCCCCAGCTGATACCCCAGCTGGGAACTGAGGCTTCCGGCTCTCTCACTCTCCAAAATACCAGAGATTCAGGCCTCTCTGAGACCCTAGAGCATGTGTAGAAACCCCCTTCCTATGTAGTGGGTTGAGCCATTTTTCCATGACTCTCACTGGGTGTTCTTGGAGAACTGGGACTCCAATTGGGACCTTCCCACGCACAGAATCCAACGGTTGGAGCTCTTCCCCATCCCAGATCCTCTTGGGTGTGTAAGCCCCTCTTCCAGGACAGGAAGAGCTCTGAGGGGGCTGCATGCCACTCATTCATTCATTCAATCACATCTTCCAGTAGACCCTGGGCCTGTAGGCCAGGAGATGAGTCACACCTGGCTCTGCCCTCCGAGTCTCCGGTCTAGGAGGAGATCTGGCTCCTGACCCTGCCTCCGGGGAAGACTCTTAGGGAGGCCCCTCCTAGGATCACAGCCGTCTGAGTCCCTGCCATCCACACCACCAGCCACTGCCTTCATTGGGGTCCAGGGATCCAGCCCTATAGTTGCCACCACTACAAGCTTCAGCCCCAAAACCCTCAGAGATGCCCTCAGGAACACAGCTGTGCTACCACGAAATAAGGGATCTAGTGGTCTTAGGCCCCCCAGCTCTGCCCCAGTCAGACAAACACTATCTGATGCCCAGAAACTTCTACTTGGGATCCAACCCCTCTCAAGGTCCAAGTCCTCACTGCTGGCTACCTTTAGGGGCCATTGCATTCACCACCTTCCTCACTCCCAGCTTTCCAATCTGTGGATCAAACTGCCCCTGCCCTCTGGAAACTCGCATGGTACCTGCCTCCCCTTGTTCCACCACTGCTCAGCCCCTTTCCCCCTCCTTTCTCTGGTGACGCAAAGGGAGGTCATAGCTCCAGAGCTCCCATCCCGCCCAATCTCAGCTCCTCCCAGACAAGTCCAATTAGAGGCCTTGGCAGGCAGCCTCATTAGGAGCCGCAGCTGGGAGCCTGAAAGAGGGGAGTGGAGAGGGAAGCACCACAGGAAACCAGAGGCCCCAAGGCCAGGGTTCTGAAGGAGGGTGGGCCCAGACATCTAGTGCTTTCTCCATCGTCCCAGGCCTGGACACAGCCTCTAACAATCATATCCCAATCACAGGGCTGGGGCCTCACAACATACGACCTAATGCTCACATCTGCCCCACTTCGAAGTACCTGAGCTGGGATTTGAATCCACGCTTATTGCAGAGACCCTCCTCACCCTCCAAATCTCCCAGGTGACTGGGAGCTCTCCAAGGAGGTTTCCTGGAGCATTGGGAGAGGTGTGTTCAGTGAGAGAATGATTGTGTGACTGAGCTGTCCCTTCTGCCTGACAATTGTGTCTTCTTGTCTAAGAGTCTCCTGTACTAATGCCACTCCCACAGGGCTCCATTCAGGCATAGGGCCTCCCTAGGAGCCCGCCCCCGAGGCAGGGTCAGGAGCCAGATCTCCTCCTAGTCCCAAGACTCGCTGAGGGCAGGGCCAGGTCTCATCTCCTAGCCTACCTGCCCAGGGTCTGCTCCTGGAAGATGTAAATGAATGAGTGAGTGGTGGCATGCAGACCCCCTCAGGGCTCATCTAGTCCTCCAACTCTAAACATCCTGAGGCAGATGGATGGCTTAGCTCCTTACCACATGGATGGCTCCTTCCTTCCTTCTCCAGGGTGTGCTGGCTCTCCCTGGAAGTTTCTCTGTGGAAACAAAAAGGTTAGTTCTTCTCTGATTCTTCTCACTCAAAGTCCCAACCCTAACAATGCCCAGTCTCCCCCTGGTCCCAGACCCCATAAGCAAAAGGACTTCTGGGCTGCAACCTGTGCACAAATTCACCACCTTCTACAACCTGCCCTGCTCTCATGCTCCTCTATATGAGGATGACCCTATTATCTCCCTAAGAGCAGAAGCCAGAGACCAAAGGGTTGTTCTTGATGTCACCAAGTCCCCTTGTCCTGCAGGACCCCGGAGTCCTGGTCACCTAAACCTCGTGGATGTCCCACAGATCTCGTACACTTACTTGGGCCCAAAGGATCTCAGCATTTCCCTGCCCAACCGCCTTTTCCTCCCAGCATCCCAGACTTGGGCTGGGTCCATCTGTTCTCACTCAGGACCCAAGAACCTTTTGTTTTCTCCAGAGAAATATGAGCATTGCCCTTGACCTCAACGACCCACTTGACATTGTTTTCCTCTTTTCTTTTTTTCCTCAAGACAGATTCACTTTTGCTGCCCAGGCTGGAGTGCAATGGTGCGATCTCAGCTCACTGTAACCTCTGTCTCCCAGGGTCAGGAGATTCTCCTGGCTCAGCCTCCTGAATAGCTGGGATTATAGGTGTGCACCACCATGCCCAGCTGATTTTTTCATTTTTAGTAGAGACAGAGTTTCACCATGTTGGTCAGGCTGGTCTCCAACCCCTGACTTCAGGTGATCCACCTGCCTCAGTCTCCCAAAGTGCTGGGATTACAAGTGTGAGCCACCACGAGCGGCAGACATTGTTTTCTAAATGCAATCCTTGCACTCCAGGCTGGTACACCCAACTGCTTCCAGGTAGCCCCGAGACATCCCCAAGATTTCACCTCACAAGGTTACAAGTTGCAAGTCTTTCCTCCTCTCCTCCCTGCCCAGCACGCACATCCCATCTGTGCCCAGCTCTGTCCCTCCACCCCAATTATGTCTGTCTGTCCCTTTTCCTCCATCCCTAGGGCTCTGGCCTGGCTCAGGCTTCATCACCATTGCTCTGGCCTCCTCCCTGCCTCCAGTAGGTCCCTCACATGGTCCCAGGGGGATATTTTTATGTCCAGAACTGACACCAGCCTTCCTGTGGCTTTACAGAGAAAAGTACAATCTGTTAGCTTGTCAGAGATTTCCTTTCATAATCTGGCCCTGGCCTCATCTCTCACCAGTCACCCCAGCCACCCTGTACTCCCAAGCGTACCGTGATTTTATGCCAAAGCCCTACACAGGCTGTGCCAGTGCCTCAAAGACCTCTCTTTCCTCCAACCACTTAATATCCCTCTCCCTTTCCTTCTTTCTTTCAAATAAACTCAAGTGTTAGTTTCCCTTCAGTATCTCCCCCAGTCTCTGACATGACACAGATAAACCTTCTTGGGGCTCTCACAGGCCCATGCCCCACCTCTAGCACAATGATCATTCTGCACTGGGGCAACCCATTTGCAGGGTCTCTCCTATCAGGCCTTGAGCACTGACAGACCCGGCCCCAAGGGACTCAACTCTATCCCTGGGCCCATCTCAGATTGCACCCTGACACCTGGCTCAGTCTTCCCCTCGACAGGTCTGTCATTTGGGGCATCTGACAGCTCAAAGCAGAAGTCCAATCTAACTTACACTTCTGAGGGATAAGGCTTTGTCCCCAACAAGCTGTGTGACTATGGACATGTGATTTCTCCCTGAGCCTCAGTTTCTCGTGAGTAACAAGATGAGGATTTCTGCCTTACAGAGGTACTGGGAGAGTTAAATGAGAAACCAAATAAGCACTGGTGGCAAAGAGAAATGCAGAAGCTTTTCTCAAACCAGGGAAAAAGTGATCAGAGAAATGAGACTCTCCTTAAGGATGGCAAAGAGCTCTGAAGTGGTACAGTTCTCAAGACAATACGGTGTTGCTTATGGAGGTGTTTGCAATATTTTCTTTAAAAGAAAAAAAAAAGAGAGAGCCCAGAGCAGTGGCTCATGCCTGTTATCCCAGCACTCCCGGAGGCTGAGGTAGGCAGATCACTTGAGCCCAGGAGTTCAACCAGCCTGGGCAACATAGGGAGAGAAAAATTAGCTAGGCATGGTGGCATGTGCCTGTGGTTCCAGCTGCTTGGGAGGCTGAGGTGGAAGGATCACCTGAGCCCAGGGAGATTGAGGCTGCAGTGAGCTGCAATAATGCCACTGCACCCCAGCCTGGACAACAGAGAAAAGAGTGAGACTTTGTCTCAAAATAAATTAAAAAAAAAAAAAAAAAAAAAAGCTAGGCGCAGTGGCTCACACCCGTAATCCCAGCACTTTGGGAGGCTGAGGTGGGAGGACAGTCTGGGCAACACAGTGAGACCCTATCTTTATAAAAAAATTTTAAAAAGGCTGGGCAAGGAGGTGGCTCACACCCGTAATCCCAGCACTTTGGGAGGCTGAGGTGGGTGGATCACCTGAGATCAAGAGTTCAAGACCAGCCGGGCCAACATGGCAAAACCCCATCTCTACTAAAAGTACAAAAATTAGCTGGGTGTGGTGGCAGTTGTCTGTAATCCTAGCTACTTGGGAGGCTGAGGCAGGGAGAATTGCTTGAACCTTGGAGGTGGAGGTTGCAGTGAGCGGAGATCGTTGACACTGCACTCCAGCCTGGGCCACAGAGTGAGACTCTGTCTCAAAATAAAATAAATAAACAAATACAATTAAAAAATTAGCCAGGCATGGTGGCATGTGCCTGTGGTTCCAGCTGCTTGGGAGGCTGAGGTGGAAGGATCACCTGAGCCCAGGGAGATTGAGGCTGCAGTGAGCTGCAATAATGCCACTGCACCCCAGCCTGGACAACAGAGAAAAGAGTGAGACTTTGTCTCAAAATAAATTAAAAAAAAAAAAAAAAAAAAAAGCCAGGCGCAGTGGCTCACACCCGTAATCCCAGCACTTTGGGAGGCTGAGGTGGGTGGATCACCTGAGATCAAGAGTGATTGAGTCCAGGAGGTTGAGGCTGCAGTGAGTCAAGTTCACTCCAGCCTGGGCAGCAGAATAAGACAAGATCCTGGCCGGGCGCGGTGGCTCACGCCTGTAATCCCAGCACTTTGGGAGGCCGAGGCGGGTGGATCACGAGGGCAAGAGATCGAGACCATCCTGGTCAACATGGTGAAACCCCGTCTCTACTAAAAATACAAAAAATTAGCTGGGCATGGTGGCGTGTGCCTGTAATCCCAGCTACTCGGGAGGTTGAGGCGGGAGAACTGCCTGAACCCAGGAGGCGGAGGTTGCGGTGAGCCGAGATCGCGCCATTGCACTCCAGCCTGGGTAACAAGAGCGAAACTCCATCTCAAAAAAACAAAAACAAAAAAAAGACAAGATCCTGTCTCTTAAACAAGCAAACAAACAAACACACACACACACAAACAAAAACCACACACAATGGTGATTGCTGAGTTAAAGATGTCATAGTGAGCTCGCTGGCTTTTCTTAAAGGTGCCTGTATTTGAAACATAAATGCTTAATATATCCTTAAAATACTGGAATAAACAACTTGCTTATGCCTTACTACAGTAGTACAATTTTAAATAACGTAATTCCTGAGAGTGTTTTCTAAAAAACAAAACAACAGCAAAAGCCACAGTGCAATTTGTGTGTTTGCTTTGTTCACCTTTGTCTACAGCGCTGGCGGGTCAGTCCCTGGGGCAGGGGTGGTGTGTGGTCTGGCTTGTGGTTCAGTGTTTAGCACACAGTGGGCCCTCAATTAACATTTTCTCATTAAATGGGGAACTAGCAAAGGTGTGAGTGAATGGGTTGGCCAGGGTGGCACCTGGAGTTCCGGGCCTGTTTCTAGCTCCTGGACTTTAGAGCTTTTCCTGTGCTCACCTGTCCCCCAGCTGGGGCTTCAGATAGAAACTCAGCTTCCTTACTGGCTTCATCAATGACTTCTTCCCATTGCCACACTCCACACAGAGGGCTGGAGAGATCGGCAGTTGCCACTTCCTGTTTCTGGGATGGAAGTGGTTTCTGAGTTCAGGGAGAGCCGCATTAAGGTAGAAGACAAGGTCAGAGACAGAAATGGGTTTAGGTGTGCGGCTGAATATAGGATGAGAGGTGGAAAGGGCTGGTGTGGGGCTTGGGGTGGGGAATGGGCAGAAGCAGGGACAGGGGAGGATTTGGTGCCAGGACAAAGGACTGGGTTAGAGATGAAGTTAAGGAGTGAGATGGTCATAGAGGGAGATGAGTCACAGCTGGATCAGACTGGGGTCTGGCACAGGCCTGGGGCTGGGAGTGCATTTGGGGTTGGGATCTGAGAGAGTCAGAAAAACTAAGGTTGCCATGGGAGCCTTGGGCAGCAATGGGTTAGGGCTGGGTTGATGTGAGGATCAGAGTTGGGAGATGTTTGGAGTTTCTGCTTGGTGGCCTGCAGCAGATTCCAGGGGTGTTAGGCCCACCTGCTGAATGGCCTCGATCTCCAAGCCCAGCGATGGGGGCAGCAGCTTGGTCCAGCCCACTGTTGTCACCTGGGCCCCTTCAGGTAGCCTGGCCACACAGAAGGGAGGAAGGCTGCCTCTGTGCCTGCTTGCCACTCATCAGTCAGTGTATGCTGGGCTCCCTTCCCTGCCCACCTTGGGGCTGAAGGCCAGAGCGTCCCTGCCTTGGGCTCCCCTCCTGCCTCTTCCCACCCCCTGAGGTTCCACTCACTCATCTGGCCCCTCATGGGTCTGACTCAGCTGCTCCTCCAGGCGTGAGATCTCCAGCCTCAGTTCCTGCAAAGGAGGAAGTGGGGCACACCTGGATCTCCATTTTTCCCATCCTCCCACCCAACCTGGGCTTCTCTTCCAGGGTTCTTTCCACTTTCCTGCCTGCTTTGGGCTCCCCAGACACTTACTGCCTAGGGACAAGGGGAAGAAAGCAATGACGGAACGTTAGGAAGCCAAAGAGAGACAGAGAGCAACGGGAACCCAGAAGCACAGCCAAGAAAATTGAGAGAAGGAAGCCAGAGGCAGAGATGCATGAAAAAATGAGACATAGAAGGAAACAGACTCACAGAAAGGCAAGAGAAACAAGAGTCTAAGATACTTGTAAAGACCAGAGCCAAACAGAGAAGAGCTGCCCAGGGAGACAGACAGCCTATACCCAGAGGCAGAGACGGGAACCCACAGGAGCCTGGCAGAGACATGTAAAGATAAGAAGGGGAGACGCAGTGAGGAGACACCCACTGAGAATGAAAGGAACAGAGAAAACGTGAAAAGATACAGAAACAGACGTGGAGACTTACAGTAAGCCATACAGTCACATAGTAAGGATGGAAGAAGATGTGGCCACCGACAGAAAGGCACGAGGAGGAGAGGCAGCAAGTCCCAGAGCTGTCAAAAGAGAAGTGAGGAGGGCAGCTAGGTTACCTGTGTTGTCACTCTGTATTCTTCCAAGGTCTGGGCCAGGCTCTCCACATGGCGAGTGCGCTGGGAAAGCCGAAAGCCAAACGAGACTGGGCCAGTTCCCCAAAGACACTGGGGCTGGTGGTGGTTGGTGGGGGGCTCGCTGGGGGTTAAGGGACAGGGTGAGCTTGAGGGAAGAGCTAGGGCCTGAGGGAGATCACCAGGCAGAAGGGCTTCTAAATCCCTGAGGGGTCACACTTGGGACCTGGGGAAGCCCTCCAATCTCTCAGGGCTGCACATTCAGTGATCAGACCCAGGCAGGACTTCCCTTTTTAGAACAGGGGCAGGTGTAGAAGTGGCATGTGGACATGGAAGGCAAATCTCTTTCCCTCCCCAGGCCCCTCACCTCAGAGAGGATGGTGTCTCGTTGGCAAATGAGGTGTTCACATTCATAGAGCTGCCGCTGCCAAGAGAGGAGCCTGTCCATCTGTCCAGCCTCCCAGGACTCCCCTTGGTCCTGCCCTCCCTCTGGCCCAATCTGCTTTCCTGCAGACTTCAACCTCCTGAGATATCCCAGGACTTCAGGGGTTTCAGGGATGCCTGGGTAGTCCTGGGAGCCTGACAGCTTGATGGAAGACACTGCTCTCATCAGACTGCAGTCACTAAGACCAGAGAAATGGGAAAAATGGCCCCAGGGTGGTGGAAAGTTGTCAGGCACTAGGAAGGAGTGGCACCTTCAAAGTGTCCTTCTCCACGGCCAGCTCCTGACTTCTCCTCTTCACTGCATCCCGCTCGGCAAGCAGCTTCCTGTTCTACAAGAAGGAAGGGCTGGTCATATTCCCTTCAGCAAATGGTGATGTTAAAATTAACAGCAGACATTTGCTAAACACTTGACATGCACCAGACCTTATGCTAAGCACTTCCTATGTTTTAACCCATTTACTTCCTCCAACCATTCTGGTGGGACCTTAGCTTTAATTTTCTGAGGGTGGCTCCCCCATCTATAAAAATGGAGCTAGGCTGGGCGCAGTGGCTTATGCTTGTAATCTCAGCACTTTGGGAGGCCAAAGCAGGCAGATCATGAGGTCATGAGTTCGAGACCAGCCTAGCTAACATGGAGAAACCCCCATCTCTACCAAAAATACTAAAATTAGCTGAGCGTGGTGGGGCACGCCTGTAATCCCAGCTACTCAGGAGGCTGAGGCAGGAGAATCGCTTGAACCTGGAAGGCAGAGGTTGCAGTGAGCCGAGATTGAGCCACTGCACTCCAGTCTGTGCAACAGAGGGAGACTCTGTCTCAGGGAAAAAAAGAACAGGAGCTAAAAAAGGACCTGCTTTATGGGATCGCTGTGAGGATTTGATAGGTTAATAACTGCTAACACTGAGCACTTTGCATGTGTTGACTCATTTCTTATCCCCCATTTAAAGTCAAAAGAACAATGTAAGAAGCCTGTTATCCACATTATCTATCACCCAGCTTTAGTAATAATACAGATTTTCTCAGTTTTGTTTAAACTGAGATGTTTCTCCTCCAGATGTTTTAAGTAGATTAAAGCAAATCGCAGGGTGTGGGAAGGGATTAAAAAAAGCAAGTCGCAGGCATCCTATTGGTTCACCTGGAGCTACTCCAGCGTTTATCTCCTACTTGAAGACTTATTTTCTTTAGCAAAACTACAACACCACTATCATGCTTAACAAAATTAACAGTAATTCCTTAGTATCATCTCATACTAGAAAGTTTGTGCTCCTTTTTCTTTTTTTTTTTTTTTTTTTTTGAGATGGAGTTTTGCTCTTGTCGCCCAGGCTAGAGTGCAGTGAGGCAATCTCGGCTTACTGCAACCTCTGCCTCCTGGGTTCAAGCAATTCTCCAACCTCAGCTTCCCAAGTAGCTGGGATTACAAGCATGCACCACCACCACTCAGCTGATTTTTGATTTTTAGTAGAGATGGGGTTTCAGCACGTTGGCCAGGCTGGTTTCGAACTTCTGACCTCAGGTAATCTGCCCTTCTTGGCCTTCCGAAGTGCTGGGATTACAGGTGTGAGCCACTGCGCCCAGCTTTTGCTCTTTTTCCATTTCAGTTGTCTCACAGAGATTTCTTTACATTCACTTTAACTGAGGGTCCAAACAAGGTCCACCATGGCTTTTGGTTGAAGTATCTCATTTCTTTTAATCTGACAGTAATTTCTTCCCCTTCCACCTGGCCCTGGTACTCTTCAGGCCCTCATTCTGTGAAAGGAACCAGGTCACTTGTCCTGTAGGACTGGTGCATCCAGTTAGACTGACTGTGCTCGTTTCCCGTGGTTATGTTCACCACTTTCCTCTACAGTTATTTCTTGTAAACTGGTCAGCAGATCCAGGGCCTTGTCCAGAATCTTGTTTTCTGGCAAGAAGATTGGGTGATGCTGTACATACCGAATTGTGACATTCAGGAGTAATGCCATGTCTGGTTGTTCTGTTAATAGTATAATCTCAGTTTTACAGAGGAGTGGAGAGGCTAAGAGACTTGGCGAGGTTACATGGTAAATGGACTCAAACTTAAATTTGTGTGATTCCAAATCCAGTGTTTATAATCCTCAGACTTTCACCTGAGCCAGACACAGCCCTGGGTGAGAATGGGGACACAAAGGGAACTAGCTTCTTTCTTGGCCACATGGAGCTCACAGACTAGAGGTGGAAATGGATGCAGAAGTGGGTGACAATGCACGAGGCGGGCTCTAATGAGGCCTTGGGCCTGGGCACCATGGGAGCACTAACAAACAGACTTCCTGAGGAGGTGATGCTGAGTCTTCAAGGCTGAGGACTGTTAGCTGGGAAAACAATGGGCTGGAGAGGGCAGCCCTTGCCAGCCATGAAATGGGACCTGTGCATAAAATGGCCCAGATTCCAGTCTAAAGTTTAGGGGTACGAAAAACCTGTTAAGTTGCACAGTTTCAAGGCGAGATGGTCACCGGGGAAATGCACTTCGGGGCATGGAGGCAGTCCCTTTCACTACATCCCTCCTCTTGGCACTCCAGGGGATATACCAAGGCCAGCCTCTTCCTCTTTCCAGCCAGCTCCAAGTCCTCCATCAGCTGATCTCCCTCTCAGTCTCAGCGGGCCTGGGCTGCCAGGTGAAGGGCAGAGGAAGGACGGGAAAGGAGTGCTGTGTCAACATCTGTCCACCTGGTAGGGATTTGCAGGCCAGATCCTGGGCCACTCGGCAGGGAACCTGGTTACTCAGCTGCTTCTGCAGTAACCTGAGCCAGCTCTGTAGGTTCTCCATAGGAAGGCTGCCTGGATTGTCAGTGTCTGAGTGTCTTGTTACTCCAGCATTATTCTACTGTAACTTGAGAACTCAATCTATAGATGCTCTGTAGGCAGTGTGGAGGGGAAAGGCAGAAGGGAGGGAACCAAGAATAGCTCCAGTTTATCGGGTGCTGAGGGTGTCCCAGGTGCTGCTCAAGGCACTCGACCTGGCAGCAGGCCTTCCTGGTGGGGAGGAGGCAGAGATGAGACTGCTGGTTGCTATTTACTCTGCTTATTCCTTCTGCTTTTGTCCAGGGATCTACTCTCTATGTCTGAGGGCAGATGGGCCCCAGCCTCAGCCCTGGGAGTGAGTCAAGGTGGAAATCTTGGCACAAACAGGAAGCTGAGCTGGTTAGCTAACCCAGCAGCCATTCTCCCCCCTTCTCACTTGTTCACCTCCCATTCTAGAGGCTGAAAAAGGTCAGATACTCCCCGGGCCTCCCTTGCAGCCGGGGGAGTTATGTGATCCAGTTCTGGCCAGTGAGATGTACGAGAGCTGCTGGGGGTGGGGTGAGAGGCTTCTGATGAAGAGAGAGCCATGAGGGCATTTCCCAGCTCCCCTCTGTGCTGTTTTCCTACTTTTGAGTGAGAATGTGAGATTGGGAGCTATTGCAGTCATCTGCAATCACGAGGCCACAGGCAGCCAGGGAGCCACCAAACCACCCAAAGACCACCTTCTTCCCAGAAACCACCTGCTTCTAAACATCTGGTTAAGGAAATGAGTGTCCTGCAGAATGAAACCATCATTTCTTTGGTGTTCTCTTCCCTGGAGCTGAAAGTGTTCTGGACCCATCAGTGGCCATATTACCCACGTAGTCTGGTTATAATGGTTGAATGCCAATGAACTATAAGGCAGGAAGTTCTGCCAAGGGGCTTCAGGGAAGGTTTTTTATCTTTTTTTTTTTTTTTTTGAGACAGTCTTGATCTGTCGCCCAGGCTAGAGTGCAGTGGCGCAATCTCAACTCACTGCAACCTTCACCTCCCAGGTTCAAGGAATTCTCCTGCCTCAGCCTTCTGAGTAGCTGGGAGTACAGACGCTTACCACAGTGCCCAGCTAATATTTTTAGTAAAGGTGGGATTTCACCATTTTGGCCAAGCTAGTCTTGAACTCCTGACCTCAAAAGATCCACCCATCTCAGCCTCCCAAAGTACTGGGATTATAGGCGTCTGGTCTTTCATTCTTTTACTTTTTTTTTTCTTTTAATTTTGTAGAGATGGGCTCTCGGTATGTTGCCTAGGTTGGTCTCAGACTCCTAGCCTAGGCAATCTTGCTTTGGCTTATCAAAGTGTTGGGATTACAGTTGTGAGCCACCATGCCCAGCCACAAGTTTTTCATTCTTAAAAAGAGATGTTCTGAAAAAATAAAAAAATAAAATAACGAAAAAGAAAAAAAAAGAGATGTTCTGAAAGAAGCTGCCGCATCCTGTCTGCGCTCCATGCCTCACAGTGCCAACCATCCTGCTGTGAGATTCCCATTGCCCCAAGGGGGTGATCTTTCATGGAAGAGCCAGAAAATAGCAGAAAAACTTTGGATTTCAGTGTAAAAAAACACACTACACATGTAGGACAAAGATTTTGGGGTGGAATACATGATCTGCCTGGAGTAGGCAGAGATCCTTACAGCTGGGGGAGGAATGTAGGACAGTCAGAGAAGAGAACAGGCTGAAAATGAGCCCGGAGTTTTCCCCAACCCAGGGTTAGCTGTGAGGGGTAGAGGGAATGGATGGAAAACCACAGAGCACTGGGAAATCTTGGAATCTGGGAGGCTCTGCATGTCTTTCCCAGTGCACTCTTAGAATCATCACAGTGTGAGAATAATAGAGATGCTATTTTCTTGTGAAAGCAGAGTCCTCACTGGTGGGTCCTCTCCAGATCTCTGCCACACCAGCCTTGTGCCCTCTGGTCTGTCAAGGCCTGGGTGGGCTTTGGGACCCGTCAGGAAAATGAGTGAGGGACAGGGACTTTCCTAACAGCTCAGGGAGAGCAGAGTAGTCTCTCTCCTGCTTCTCGTTCCCCAGAGGAGCCACATCTCCCCACCATGAGCACCCACCCTGACCTGGAGAAATGAGGCAGGGGCTTTGGGCAGTGACCCCAGCCTGTTCCCTTTCACAGAAAAGCAGCTAAACCACCTCCATTGCCCTGAAAGGGTGTGGAAGTGGTGGAGTGAGAATTCTAACCCAGATAAGGGATCACCTCCAGAAGCTGAAGAGGATGGTATGTCCAGAGATTCAAAGGCAATGAGGGCCTCACAGTGGATGCCAGCATACAGCGGTGACAAGGGCTTGGACAAAAACCATCAGTCTCATGAACAGCAGAGAGGACAAACACTGAGTGAGGACCAGTGGCCTCCTAGAGCACTAGGCTCCTGCGACAGTCTCCTGCAACTTAGATGCCACCTTGAGGTGGGGGGTGGTGACAGGTTTCATCATCAATTGATGAGTTTGTTTCAATCTAAAAAAAACTAAGTGGGCCCAAAATGAACTAAGATGATGTTTTTCTGTCTCAGATGGAATGGGGCTTGAATTAAATGTGAAGCTGAACTGGGTTTCTTCACTGTTTGCTAGTGCCTTAGTGGAATGCTGTCAATTCCCCAAACAAGGCTACTGAACAGACACCCGTCTTCCCAGTTCTTAGTAAAAGTAGGGCCGGGTGCAGTGGCTCACGCCTGTAATCCCAGTATTTTGGGAGGCCGAGGCAGGCGGATCACTTGAGGTCAGGAGTTCAAGACCAGTCTGAGCAACACAGAGAAACCCCGTCTCCACTTAAAAAAAAAACCAAAATTAGCTGGATGTGGTGGCACATGCCTATAATCCCAGCTACTGGGGAAGTTGAGGCAGGAAAGCTGCCTCCCGAGAGGCGGAGGTTGCAGTGAGCTGAGACTGCTCGATGGCACTCCAGCCTGGGTAACAAGAGAGAAACTCCTCAAAAAAAAAAAAAAAGAAAGTAAAAGTAAAGGCTTGGAAAGGAGAAGTCACATGTGTAAAGGCTGCCTGGTGTGTAAGTGGCAGAGATGGGATCTGAACTCAACATTGACTTCAAATCCTAGTTTTTTGTTTTTGAGAGGCTCTTGCTCTGTTACCCAGGTTGGAATGCCACGATGCAGCCTTGGCTGACTGCAACCTCTGTCTCCTGGGCTCATGCAGTCTTTCCACCTCAGCCTCCTGAGTAGATGGAGTACAGGTGCCACTACCATGCCTGGCTTATTTTTGTATTTTTTGTAGAGATAAAGTTTTTCCATGTTGCTCGGGATGGTCTCAAACTCCTAGGCTAAATGGGTCCACCAACCTAGTACTGGTATTCCAAAGTGCTGGCATGAGCCAGTGTGCCTGGCTGTTTCATTCACTAAAAACATACTGACATATAAACAATGCTAGCTAACTTTTAGTAAGCACATCCTGTGTCCTACCTTGTACTTTACAAGTATCCTCTGGTTGAATCCTCACACAACCCAGTGAGGCAGATGCTACTGTTTTGTTCATCTTTATAGGTGAGGCAACTGAGGCACAGGGAAGGGAGGGACTGGTCCATGTTTATGTAGGTGGCCTCAGCCTGAACCCATGTCCCATACTCTTGTCAACCATGGCAGTTCCATGGTGTGTTGTGACCTCAGGGACATTCCTACACTACTAAAATTCTGAGGTCTCCCCAAGCAGGCTGAAGGGTGTTTGGTGGCAGGCTGCTGGGGTGTTGGGGGCAGAAGGGAGTAGTGTCAAGAAGATCCTAAGGACTGGGGTGGGGTGGGGGTGGGTGCTTGGCCTCAGCTCACCTCCTCCTGTAGAGTCTCCATCTCAGCCACCAGATGCTGCTGCTCTTTTTCCTAACCAACCCCAGAGAGAGGACAAATGCTTCATTTCCAGCCTCCTTGCCCCCATGTTGTCCTTTTCCCACCCCTGAGAACACAACCAGGGCCTGGGTCATTGAAGGACAGGGTTGGGGGAATGGGTCTGGGGAGCCCTTTGTCATGAGAAGGATGGCAGATGGGTTAAAGTCTAGGGCGAACAGGGCCTGGAGAGAGGGAGAATGCTGGGTGACCTCTGCCCCTTCCTACTCCATAGTCACACTTGGCTGCTCTGACTCCAGGAAACAAGGAAGAGAGAGGGCACCTTCCTTCCCTTGGGCCAGACCCACCGCCTGCCGGGTTTGGGCGAGAAGGCTGCGATTCTGCTCCTCCAGGCTCTTGGTCAGAGTCTTCAGGTCCTCCAGCTCCTCATCCACAGCCTTGGCAAACTGCAAGGCCTGCTGGGTGCTGAATGGGAGTGGAGGCGATAAGCCACATGAGAGGAAGGCAGAGAAGCACAGAGACAGATCCATTCTGAGAGACAGCGGCAACAGAGAGATCCCAAGTGGCAGGTGGGAAGAGAGACCCAGAAAAGAAGAGACCTAGTGTGGGCACAGAGACCCAGTTTTAACCCAAAAGACTGAGAGGTGGGAAAGAGACCTAGAGAGTAAGAGACTAAAACAGGGAAACCACGAAAAACATAAAGAATGACAAAGCACAGAGAGATGAAAGGGCAAATGATTAGGAGAATCAGAGAGGGGAGAAGAACAAAGAGAGAAGTCTAGGCTGGGTGCAGTGGCTTAGGCCTGTACTTCCAGCACTTTGGGAGGATGAAGTGGGAGGATGGCTTGAGCCCAGGAGTTTGAGACCAGGTTTCACACAGTGAAACCTCATTTCTACAAAAAATAAAACAAAATTAGCCAGGCATGGTGGTACACCTGTGGTCCCAGCTACTTGGGCGGCTGGAGTGGCAGGATCACTTGAGCCCAGAGGAGTAGACTGCAGTGGAGGTTGCAGTGAGCTGTGATCATGCCCACTGCACTGTGGCTTGGGTGTCAGAGTAAGACCCTGTCTCAAAAAAAAAGAAAAAAAAAAAAAAAGGCCAGGCATGGTGGCTCATGCCTGTAATCCCAGCACATTGGGAGGCTGAGGCGTGTGGATCACTTGAGGTCAGGAGTTCGAGACCAGCCTGGCCAACATGGTGAAACCCTGTTTCTACTAAAAACACAAAAATTAGCAGGGCATGGTGGTGGGTGCCTATAGTCCCAGCTACTTGGGAGGTCGAGGCAGGAGAGTCACTTGAATCTGGGAGGCAGAGGTTGCAATGAGCTGAGGTCACCACACTGCACTCCAGCCTGCGTGACAAAGCAAGACTCCATTAAAAAAAAAAAAAAAATGGAGAGAGAAAAAAGTCTAAACCCTCTAGGAGAAGATAAAAAGACCAAAACAGAGGGTGAGAGATAAGAACCAGAGTGACACAAAAGATAAAATACAGAAAAGGGAAAAGAAAGGACAGATACTGAGTCAAAGACAGAGCAGGATGCCTACAGCAAGCATAGGAGAGAGGCTGGGCGATGCAAGGAGGATGGAGGCAGGGGTGCTGGGGAGGGTGGGTGTGGAGTGCAGCCCACCTGCGAAGCTTCTTGCGCAGGGCCAAGATCTCCTCCCCAAGGTGTGCTGACCCCTCCTCGGCTGTCTCCACGCTCCGCTGGAGTTTGGCATTCTCCCCAGCCAGACGTCGGTTGCTGAGCTCCAGGTCCTCCAGGCTGCTCAGCAGGTCAGCTGTGGCTGGCCTAGGGGCAGGGAAGGGGCTGGGGTCACGGGCCACAGCTGCTGCCTTATTTCCCCAGGTTAAGATTGAGGTGGTAGGGAGATGTGGCTCCTTTGGGGAAAGAGAAACAGGAGAGAGACTCCTCTGCTCTCCCTGAACTGTTGGCAAAGCCCCTGTCCCTCACTCCTGTCCCTGAAGGATCCCAAGCCCTACCCAGGCCTGGCAGGCTGGAGGACACAGGGCTGGGGCAGGAGGGTCAGGGAGAGATGTGAGGATAGGTACGGCTCGGGTCTGGGGTCTTCGCCTCCGAAGCTCTCCAAGTTGGCTGGCTCCTCAGCTTCTGGGCATCCTGGAGGAAGACAGACAAGAGGGTATTGGTACCTGAAGTGCCCTTAAATGTAAGGTGCCCCAGGTCTATGAGCTTGGTCTCCATCTGACTCCACCCTCACCTGTGCTCTGGAGGACCCCACAGGCTCTCAGGCTGCAATTAGACCCACTGTAAAGCCCTCTGGCTTGTCTTCTACCTTGAGCTCAGGCTGGATCTTCCAGATAACCCCAGCCCCCCACATTCTTTACACCCAACATTAGGCAGCACTTCCCCTTCCCAGATCCCCCACTGGCTACCCAGCCACTGGGCTGACCTGGCTCCCTCACTCCCTGTCACCCCCATAGTCTAGCAGGATCCAGACCTCTCCCTCCTGCCCCTGACTCTCTCTGCTCCACCCCTCCTCTCTGTCTCCACACCCTAGCCCTTGCCTTCTCCTCCTGGACCCTCACCACAGCCTCTTCTCTGGCCTCCCGGCCTCTAGTCCCTCCTCTGCTCACAGCCCTCCCTGGGCCAAGTCTGATGAAGGAGGTTGAAGAGAACTTCCATCCCCACTTTCTTTTTTGTATGTATGGCTGGAGAAATGGAACATGACCACCTTTTCTTTTTTGAGTTGGAGTTTTGCTCTTGTTGCCCAGGCTGGAGTGCAATGGCATGATCTTGGCTCACCGCAGCCTCCACCTCCCGGGTTCAAGCGATTCTCCTGCCTCAGCCTCCTGGGTAGCTGGGATTACAGGCATGTGCCACCATGCCTGGCTAATTTTGTATTTTTAGTAGAGACAGGCGTTTCTCCATGTTGGGCAGGCTGGTCTCAAACTCCCAACCTCAGGTGATCCACCTGTCTTGGACTCCCAAAGTGCTGGGATTACAGGCATGAGCCACTGCGCCTGCTCCTCTGCCTTTTTAAAGACAGGGTCCTGCTCTATTGCCCAGGCTAGAGTGCAGTGGTGCAATCACGGCTCACTGCAGCTCTGACCTCCCAAACTCAAGTGATCCTTCTGCCTCAGCATCCTGGCTGGGACTACAGGTGTGTGCCACTGCACTCGGCTAATTTTTAATTTTTAGTAGAGATGGGGTCTCACTATGTTGCCCAGGCTGGTCTCAAACTACTGGGCTCAAATGTTCCTCCCACCTTGGCCTCCCAAAATGCTGGCGTAATCCCAGCATTTTGGGAGGCCAAGGCTCCCTGCGTGAGCCTGTAATCATGACCACTTTTTTATGGAGCACTGCCTCTAAGTGTGAGGTCCTGGGGATATAATGGTGAGCAAACCAACCAACTAAACCCAGGGGCCAGTGGATAACTAAATAATCAGATTTCCTTTGCAGGTAGGTGATCCAGCGGAAAGACCTGCTAGTCCATGAGTGAGCATGGAGCAAGGAACTCTAGCCAGGGGCCTCCCAGGGCCTCCCCTTTGCCAGAGGTATGATGGATGAAGGATGGTGTGAAAAGTCGGGCAGGGGGTGGGGATTGAGGAGTGGAGGGGAATAGCCTGAGCAGGGGCCTGTGCTGGGCAGAAGTGAGGCACATTCAAGGTAGGGCAGCAGAGCCAATGTGCCTGAGTGCCTGGACTAGAGTGAGGAGGAGGAGAGGTTAATGATGATGGAGCAGAGGTAGGCAGGGCTTTGTAGGCCTCTCTAACAGGGCTGGTGTGAGGAGGAATTGGAAACTACCCTCTGAAGAAAAAACACCCTAAAAGCTCAGGGAAGGAAGGGACGGAGGACCTAGAAAGCCACACTTACCCAACTAGGTCCCTGGTTCCCACCCTATCCCTTGCTCTGCCCTGGGTGGTAAGTCCCCACACTGTCTGACCCAGGGCCTGCCTGCTTCATTTCTATATATAGAAATCTCACCAGATGGCAGTTGCTGGGAGGTCAGGGCTCCCTCGAAGGCGGTCTCCTCTTCCAGCTCTAATCCCCTGTATCAAAGGGATGAGGCTTACAGCCCCCCTGTAGCCACCCCTCAATCCTCACCAGCCACAGGCAGGGGGATTGCAGGTGGGAGGAGGGGACCAGGTCAGGTAAGAGCTGGCACCACAGGGGAGGATGATGGGGCCAGATGGCAAGTGCCTGCAGCCAGATGGAAAAGCAGGAGGGGCAAGGGCTGGGTTTGGTGAAGGGATGGGGAGGGACTTCTCTGTCAGCCCCCAAGCTCCTCCCTTCTCCAACCCTGTTTTGACTCCCAGGCCCCCTCTGCCTCCTCATCCAAATTATTTTGTCCTCAGACTGACTCTCTATCTACCCTCTCTGAATCCCATCTCTTCATTTTTCTCTCCACAGTCTCATTTCAAACACAGTAGGTCCTTGGGCCTAAAGAATGCTAGCTGCAGTAAGTGGGTATGAGGTTAGATCTTAGGAAGGACTTCCCAGAGGAGGATGAAGGTGTGGGGACTCACCCATGCAGTTGACAGGCAGCAATCCAGTCACGCATCACAACCAGGAAAGTGTCCAAGTCCACGGTGGCCTTAGGGCCCTCTCCATTGGGGTCCAGGCTGTTGGCCAATGTTTGGAGGCGTGCATCCTGGGGACCCTGGCCTGTCACAGCCTCCAGGTAGGCCAGCACCTGGGCCACAGCCACAGTGCCTGGGACAGAGCATGAAGTGAGGGGGTCTGGGGCAGGTGGGGAGTGGTGGGTATGGAATGGCAGCAGCTTGGGAGCAGGATGTCACTGGCTAGGCTGGTGGCACTCCTGCTTCAGGCCCAGTGGAGACACATTGGGCAAGTCCTTTCCCCTCCTCTAAGTCAACTTTTTCACCTGTCCATCACAGGGTGAACCAAAGGGGATGGATATGGAGACAGTACCCCATGCCCCACCCCACCATGGTGGCTGCCTCCCTTCCCCATCCCAAGACCCCAAAACTCTACCCTCCCTCATCAATAGCCCCAGAGTTTTCCTCATTCTAAAAGGCATCCACCCCCCTTACTTTCTTCTTCCTGAAGTTGCCCACAGTCATGCACTTTGTTCTTACAATACCCCCAAGAGGCGGCCCTAGCCCGGTCTTCTCTCTGAGGCTCCCCAGTTCCCAGCCTCCATCCCTATCCTGTCCGCACTGGTCCCCAGCACCCCTCCTGCCCCCACCACCTGTCTTGTGAGGATCACAAGCTTCGAATGTGGAGTTGAGTACTTGCTCCTCCAAGTTGAGCGGCGTTCCCAGACTTGCCTCCTCAGGCTGCTCCCAGAGGTACACTGTGGGGACAAGAGGGCCCAGCTCCCCAGTGAGAAGAATGAGGAAGGAAAAGGGGTGACCCCAGGTCTTCAGCCTCCTGGGCTCTGCAGAGGGGAGGGAATTCACTCAGAGCACCTAGAGTTAGGGCTGGTGCGGAACAGCAGGAAGCTTCAGGAGGGGGCAACGATGTGAGGGTCTCTGAGTCACTTCCCCCCATCTTTCAGACCAGGAAGTCCCCTCTGCTATCTTTTTGTGTCCAATTGGCTTAGGAGCCCAGATAAGGATGCTCTGAGATCATCCTCTCCTCCTCACCTCTCCAGCCTCCTAGGCTGGGCTCAGAGAGGGACAGGGCAGGGGAGGGAAAAGAAGAGAGAATTCTGGGAGGAGCTGAGAGTGAAGGGGGCTCAGGAGCCAGGAACAATCCAATAATGCGTGGGCAGCCCAGATCGATCCCGCCTGCCGCATCTCCGGTCTCCCAGCCCACCCTGGGGACCAGGGCTCTCTCCTCCCTGCATCCCCAAGGCAAGGCTGGCATTGTCGGAGCCCATGGCCAGGGGCTGAGACATGAAGGGATGGGGTAAACCAGGAAGGATGGGCAGTGAGGGAGTGGTTATGAGCTGGATTAGTGTGTCAGATCAACCCGGGTGCAGAGTCCAGCTGCTCATCTGTGGACAAGTCTCTTCTCTCAGAGCCTCAGTTTTCCTACTGGTAAAATAGGGGGTGGGTAGAGTGATCCTCCTCACCAGGGCTGAATTAACTGTGTATGTGAAGCACATTCGTATGTACACACACACACACACTCTCTCTCTCACACACACACACATTCATATACATGTCCTGGGGTCTATTTGTCTACTGCTGTAGCCATAACACCTGTACATAGCAGGTGCTCAACAAATGCTCCATATAAGAAGAGAGCCTCTGCTGCAGGAGCCACTGGCTTGGCCCAGCCTCTCTCCAGGGCTGTGAGTGACCTTCTAGGCTCCTTGGCCTGGCCTTGAACAGCTGGGTGCAGCAGTGTACTGAGCATAGGCTGCAGGACTGGGTAGATCCAGGGGGCAACCGAGGCTGGGCCTCAGAGAAGTGCCAGCACCTGGGGCAACTGACTCAATCTCTCTTGAGCCTCAGTTTCTTCCTCTGTTAAATGGGGTTGGTGTTACCTTTTTCCTAGAGAGAAAATGAGATAAAACCTAGAAAGGCTTTGGCAGAGGGCCTGGCACATGGTGGGGACTCAAGAATACAACTGAACACTTACTGAGCCTGTAGTAGGTGCCAGGCCTCTTCCGAGCATTTTACATGAACCGTCTAGTAGCATAATAATAACTGATGCTATTATTATCCCTCCTTTACAGATGAGAGGACTAAGGTATAGAGAGATCAGGAACTTGCCAAAGGTCACCCTGTTTAACATATGAGTCACCTTTCTCATCCCCTTAACTCTTCCAGGGTTCTTTGTAGTGAAATTTGCACTCCCTTTGGCTTAAACCCATGCTCCTAGGTTTGGCCCTTGGGAAGGGGCGTGTGAACTCACAGATAGGGGAGACCAGGGCTTTAGCCCCAGTCTGTTTTTCTCCTCTTGCTGTCTTTTTTTTTTTTGAGATGAGTCTTACTCTGTTGCACAGGCTAGAGTGCAGTGGTGCAATCTTGACTCACTGCAACTTCTGCCTCCAGGGTTCAAGTGATTCTCCTGCCTCAGCCTCCTGAACAGCTGGGATTACATGCGCCTGCCACCAGACCCAGCTAATTTTTGTACTTTTAGTAGAGATGGGGTTTTACTTTGTTGGCAAGGCTGGTCTTGAACTCCTGACCTCAAGTGATTCACCCAACTTGGCCTCCCAAAGTGCTGGGGTTACAGGCATGAGCCACTGCACTAAACCCTCTCACTGTCTTTCTCATGTTACATGGATGAGGACCCTGAGGCCCAGTGAGATCCTTCACCTAGGGCTGCTTGCCAGGGAGAACTAAGCTGGGAACAGAACCCAGGACTGGCACCAGGTCGTGGGGGCTCTGAGGATCAGCATGTGTCTGAATTTGCACCCCAGGATTCCCTCAGGGAGATGTCATTCCTGTTCCTGATAAAGATCTCCTTCCTCAGTGTCCCTATCTCTCCACTCTATGTCTCTGTCCCTGCCTCTTCTTTATGTTTTTCTTTGGGGCTCTCTCTCCATCTTTATCCCAATCTCTCTTCATCATGTCCTATCTCTCCACCTCCACATCCCTTGCCCGTTTTTTCCCATCTCTCCATCTTTGTGCTTCCCTTCCCGTATCTCAGCAAGTCTCCATTCCCTAAGCCTTCTCTTTCCTTCCTCTGCTATTTCTCTTTTTCCTTCTGCCTTCCTCTGTCTCCATCTCTCCTTCTGAGTGTGTTCCTACCTTTCCGGAGCCTCTCGAAGTTGGCTTAGCTATTGCCACCCGGATCCCGGTCGCTGCACGCCCTCTGCTGGTGCAGGTGAAGTTTAGATGGCCATCACTAGACAGCCTGTCCCTCTGGTTCCCACACCCCAGTGTCTGCCTCTGACCCTCCTATCTGGAAAGCCTCCTGAGGCCTGGGGCTTTGGAGAAAAAGGCGCAGACTGTGCCATGGATGCCTGGAAGCCTCTAAGAAAGGGGCAGTGGCTCATGCCTGTAATCCCAACACTTTGGGAGGCTGAGGTGGGTGGATCACCAGGTCAGGAGATCAAGACTATCCTGGCTAACATGGTGAAACTCTGTCTTTCCTAAAAATACAAAAAATAAAATAAAATAAAAATTAGCCATGTGTAGTGGCAGGCGCCTGTAGTCCCAGCTACTTGGGAGGCTGAGGTAGGAGAATTGCTTGGACCTGGGAGGCAGAGGTTGCAGTGAGCCGAGATCACGCCACTGCACTACAGCTTGGGTGACAGAGTGAGACTTCAGCTCAAAAAAAAAAAAAAAAAAAGAAAGAAAAAAGAAAGAAAAAAGAAAAGAAAAAAGGGGCACTGCCATCCTATCAGACTGGGCTCTCTTACTTGGTAGGTGAGTTTCAGAGAGGCAACCCTGTGCCTCCTCCCTACCCCCTCAAGCCGGCTTTCACATCCATTCAGCCTACATCCATCCATTCATTCAACAGTAACTGAGCTCCTACTGTGAATCAGGAGTTGCTCTGCGGCCCCAGCCAATAGGGTAGTCACTCTTTCTGGAGCACTTGAACTGAGGTGAATGTGGATTGAAATGCTCTATTAGTGTAAAGGTACACGCTAGATCTTGAGGACTTAGTATTTGAAAAAGAGAATATCTCAATACATTTTTTATATTGGCTATATATTGACAGGGTATGTCTGAATATATAAGGAAAATCTATTATTACTATTCATTTCACCTGTTCCTTTTTCTTTAAAAAATAATAAATTGGCTGGGTGTGGTGGCTCACACCTGTAATCCCAGCATTTTGGGAGGCCAAGGCAGGCGGATCACGAGGTCAGGAGATCGAGACCAGCCTTGCCAACATGGTGCAACCCTGTCTCTACTAAAAATACACAAATTAGCTGCACATGGTGGAGCATGACTTTAGTCCCAGCTACTCAGGAGGCTGAGGCAGGAGAATCACTTGAACCTGGGAGGTGGAGGTTGCAGTAAGCCAAGATAGTACCACTGTACTCCAGCTTGGCGACGGAGACTCTGTCTCTAAATAAATAAATAAATAGTCTGGGTGTGCTGGCTCACACCTGTAATCCAAGCACTTTGGGAGGCTGAGACAGGCAGGTGGATCACCTGAGGTCAGGAGTTCAAGACCAGCCAGGCCAATATGGTGAAACTCCATCTCTACTAAAAATACAAAAAAAATTTAGCTGGGCACACTGGTGAATGCCTGTAATCCCAGACACTTGGGAGGCTGAGGCAGGGGGACGGTTTGAACCCGGGAGGTAGAGGTTGCAGTGAGCCAAGACTGTGCCACTGCATTCCAGCCTGGCCCACAGGGCGAGATTCTGTCTCAAAAAGAAAATTACATATGTGGCTCATATTATACTTCCACAGGACAGCGCTGCTCTAGGGACTGGGAATACCAGAGTGAATAAAACAGACACTGCCTTGTGGAGCTCATGCACTAGCGGGGGAGACAGAGACAAAATGGATGACGCACTGTCAGCACTATGAAGAGAAGTGAAGCAGGGTGGGGGAGAGAGTGTCTCAGGACAGCTGCCTTACATAAAGTAAGTGCCATCTGGGCAGCGATGTGAATGGAGTAAGGGGTGCACTTGCTTGTGCTCTCACACAGTCCAGCCTCCCCACAGGAAATAAAGGGTATGGACAGGTGGGCATACAGCAGGCACTTAATCCACCAGAGTCCCTTCCCTCCCCTCCACCCTGCACCATGCAAAGTCTCAGCCACCCCAAGCCACCTCTCCCAAGTTTCCGAGTCACAGCCTGGTGCCCATTCACCCATGGCTCCCTCCTCACCCTCCCCGGGGCAAACAGGGTCCCAGCCACTTACTTTCTGCAGTAGGGCTGCCCACCGGGCTCTCAGGCAGGTCCATGAGCCACCCCCACTGCTGCGCAGCTGTTTGGAAAGCTACCGGCCTCCCTCCTTCAGGGGGAGGGATGGGTAAAGGACCAGCTGCCTGAGCACTCCTGGAAGGAGAAGCAGGGAATTGTGTCCTTAGAGCAGCCACCAAGGGTCGGGGCCTGCCCTGCCCCACCTGGGTCCCAGGACTTCTGGGTCCTTACAACCTATTTGCCACTCCTACTGGAACCCGAGCAGCTCGCTCCGACCTGTTTTATGGATTGGAGGTGTGGGCTGGGGAATGGGGTGGCTGACATCAAAGGGGCTAGTGGGTGGTGGGGTCACTGCCTCCCTTCCTCCACATGGTTTCTTGCCAGCCCAGGCTGCCTGGTCCTCTTCCCTGGCCTTTGTCCCAGCCTCCTATCTCCAGGTTTGCCCTCCAGTCTGTCCCTACAGGGCCCCAGAGCGAACCTGCTCCTCCCCTGCTCAGTGCCCTTCCACGGCTCCCAGCACCCTGGGGATGGGCTAGACCCTGGCCCTGGTGCCAAAGCCCTGCGTGGCTGACTACCCACCTCAGCACCCCAAATTGTACGTGATGCTCCAGCCACTCTGAGCTGTGGGCCACTCCCACACCCAGGTCTCTGCCTAAGATGCCCTCTTTCGATCCTTCATCCTGCCTCGACTCTGCATGGCCTCTTCTGGGAAGCGGGGGGCTGTGTCTGGCTCCCACATGGCCCTGGGCAGCTGCTGTTCTTGCCACATCAGCCTGGATTTGGCTGGCTGGCCTCTCACTGGAGTTTGATTCTGCCTCACCCCTGCTCTCAACCCTCCCATGGCTCCCTAGTGCACCTGGACTAAGTCTCAGTCCCTCAGGCTAGAGGGGGCATCCAGTGGTCCTGGAAGCTCCTGCCTGTTTCTGACCCTTTTGTCTCCATCAAGCGACCCCTAGGTCTCTCCTTATCACGGCCCCAAACCTGCTGCTCCCCTGGGTTCCAATTCAGGATGCACAAAGTCCCCCATGCCCAGGCCACCTCCTCCTCATTCCTGCTGGCCCCACTTGCAGCTGCTCTGGGCAGTCCCTGCGGCAATGATAGGATTTTGGGGGTCCACGTCTTGCCTCCATTCTACCCAGGCTGACTGAATGCCTTAGTGGCTGCACTCAGGGTGCTACAGGAGAGACCTGGGCACCGCTATCATCACAGTGGGCAAGGGCGCCCCTTGGGGCCACTGGTTGAGCCTGGGCCCACCTGCCCTCACCCAGCTCTCTCAGCACCTGCTCTCCTGAGCCATTCGGGCCTGCCACCACATGCTTCTGGAACATTCTGGAAACACGGGTCTTTGAAGAGGGGCCCTTCCAGGGTCTGGACCACCCTGCAGGGTGAAAAGGGGGCAATGGCCTTGGCCAGGCCCTGGCACACGGGCTGGGTTTGAGACAAGGTCCTGAGGGACCCCCAGGGGTGTTGGCTGATCTTGGGGGTCTCATCGTACTGGGATGCGGACACAGGCAGAATGGAGCCCCAGCAGGAGCTCTGGGTAGGGTGGGCCTTGGCAGGTTTTCAAGGGCTCTGACAGGATTTTGGGGGGTCTCTGGCTGGATTTCTGGGGAGTTTCTGGCTGGATTTTGGGGGTCTGTTTCTGCAGGGGTTTCTGACTGGGTTTTGGGGATCTCTGGCTGAATTTCAGGGGTCTTGATTTCTGGGGTATTTTACTGGATTTCAGGGGTCTTGATTTCTGTGGAGGTCTCTGGATTGACTTTGGGGGTCTTGTCTGTGAATGTCTCTGACTGGATTTTGGGGGTTTTGATTTCTGCAGGGGTCTCTGGATTTCTGAGGGATCTGGGCTGGCTTTTCACGGTCCTGATTTAGGGGGTCTGACTGGATTTTAGGGGTCTCGATTTCTGCAGGGGGTCTCTGGATTTCTGGGGGGTCTCTGGCTGGATTGGGAGGTCTTGATTTCTGAGGGGGTCTTGACTGGATTTCTGGGGGGTCTTTATTTCTGGGGGCCTCCACTGGATTTCGGTGGTCTCCATTTCTTGGAGGGGGGTCTCTGATGGACTTCTGGGCTCTCTGACAGAATCCGAGGTCTGACTAGGCTTGGGAGGGGACCTGCCAGGACGTCTGGGGATCTCTGACGGCCGTCCAGTCGTCTCTGCTAATCTGGGAGAGGAACAGGATTTTGCAGAAAGTCTCTGGCAGGCTCTGAAGGAGAAGTCCGACAGAATTTTTAGAAGATTCTGACGGGATTTCGAGGGTCACCTATAAGATTTCCTAGACGGCTCCTTTCAGTGTTTCTGAGGGGATGTGGTCAGGATTTTAAGAGGATTTCGGGGGCTCTGACGCTGGGGAATCTCTCCCTCAATATGGGGGGTTTCGCTAGGATTTCGGGAGGCGCTGCTTCAGGGCCACTCTGGGGAACCTCGCCGCGGGGCAGGGCGCACCTGGAGCCACGTCCTATTCTCGAGACACCGCGGACAGCCACCAACGACGAACGGCAGTTGAGTTGAGGGAGGTGAGCGTGAGCTTTTCCCGCCAGAAAAAGAAGGCAAGGTGTCGCGAGTGCGCGTGCGCGGCGTCTGAGGCGGGGCGGGGGGGGCCCTCCGCCCGTCCCCGCCCGGGCTCTTCCTAAGACGCAGGCGCACACCGGCTGCCGACGCGTGGCGCTCTTGTGCGTTACCCGTAACCGTGCGGATGCGCATGCGTAGGGCTGCCTGGGCGGTGCGCCCAAAGCGGTGGGGCGGACGCATGCGCACTGGCCGAGCCGGCGGCGGCTTCTGGGTTTCTGACAGACTGGTGATCGAAGGCGGGGCCCGGTGCGCCCGCTGTATTGGGGTTCGGGGGTCTTTTCTCGGCATCGGTGAAATGGGGCCGAGTAAGGGGTATATTGAGCGGAGAGACTCCTTGTCCATCTCCCATTTCTTTACTTTTCTTTTCTTTTTTTTGAGACGGAGTGTTGCTCAGTCGCCCAGGCTGAAGTGCAGTGGCGCGGTCTCGGCTCACTGCCACCTCCGCCTCCCAGGTTCAGACGACTCTCCTGCCTCAGCCTCCTGAGTAGCTGGGACTGCCGAGGCGCCCGCCACCATGTCCGGCTAATTTTTGTGTTTTTAGTAGAGAGGGGGGTTCATCATGTTGGCCAGCTGGTCTCGAACTCCTGACCTCAGGTGATCCGCCCACTTGGTCCTCTCAAAGTGCTGGGATTACAGGTGTGAGCCACCGAGCCCGGCCTGTATTTGTGTACTGTCTGACACCCCCCACTGGAATGTGAGCTCTCTGCAGTGCAAGACTATTTCAGGACTAGAAGAACATGCCTGGCCTAAGGTGGGCACTCAAAACATTTTTTCTTGTTGAAGGTATGAATAAATGAATTAATGAATGAAATTCATGCCTCTTAACTAGTGGGCAGTGCAGAGTGATGATGATAAGGCCGTGGACCTGGAGTTAGAAATTCTTGGGTTTGAATTTTGGCTCCAACACTTCCTGGCTGTGACCTTGCCATAGTGACTTACCCTCTTTGAGCCTCAATTTTCCTCCCAGGAATGGAGATAATAATGGCTTCTTACCTTACCTTGGGGACTTAAGGTAATACTCCACAGTTTATCGAAGGTCCTTGTGAATTGCTATTTAGTGCTGTATTTTGAGTATTAGATGGTGACTTGTAAGGTTTAGGAAGAAACCTGTTTGCCAGGTGGTGTGGCAAGTAGTTAAAAGGAATCAGGCAAACCTAGTGGCATTGCTGTGTGACCTTGGCAAGTGACTTCACCTCTTTGGACCTCAACTTCTCTAAAATGGGGACAAATAATATCCACTTCTTGGGGTCTTATGAGTTTAATAAGAATATATGATGACCAGGCACAGTGGCTCACCCCTCTAATCCCAACAGTTTGGGAGGCTAAAACGGGCATATCACTTGATGCCAGGAGTTTGAGACCAGCCTGGGCAACATGGTGAAACCCTGTCTCTACTAAAAATACAAAAAATTAGCTGCGTGTCGTGGCGTACTCCTATAATCCCAGCTACTTGGGAGGTATAAGAATCACCTGAACCCAGGAGGTGGAGACTGCAGTGAGCCAAGATCATTGCATTGCACTCCAGCCTCGGTGACAGAGCGAGACTCTTATTCAAAAAAAAAAGAAAAGAAAAAAAAGTACACCAACTCTTTGCTTAGCTCAGGCTGGCAAGGGGTAGACTTTTTTTTTTTTGAGGCAGAGTCTCATTCTGTCACCCAGGCTAGAGTGCAATGGCGCAGTCTTGGCTCACTGCAACCTCCGCCTCCTGGGTTCAAGCTATCAGCCTCTCAAGTAGCTGGGACTATAGGTGCACGCCACCACACCTGGCATGCACCTATAGGTGTGCACCTATAATTTTTGTATTTTTTAGTAGAGACAGGTTTCACTATATTGGCTAGGCTAGTCTCAAGCTCCTGACCTGATGACCAGCCTGCCTTGGCCTCCCAAAGTGCTGAGATTACAGACATGAGCCACCACGCCCAGTCGACGTCTTTAGATTTATTAAATTATTAAGTTCTTTCATTCTGTCATTCTTTTAGTTTATTCCTTCAGCATTTCTTGGTCCTTCCTTTTTTGGGGTCTGGATAATTTTATAAAACCTAAACAAAATTTTGTGTAGTTTTAACACACATAAAGTACTAAATTTTGTCATAGCTCAATGAAATATTTCTAGAGTAATGTATTAATGAAACCACCAATATATGAAAAAAGAGTATTATTCACAGGTCAGGAGTCTTCTTCACACTTCCCCCTAATCGTTACCCTCCAAAGGTAACCACTTTCGGTTGTGGGTTCTGTGTGTGTGTGTGTGTGTGTGTGTGTGTGTGTGTGTGTGTGTGTGATGGAGTTTTGCTCTTGTTGCCCAGGCTGGAATGCAATGGTACAGTCTCGGCTCACCACAACCTCCACCTCCCAGGTTCAAGTGGGATTCTCCTGCTTCAGCCTTCTGAATAGCTGGGATTACAGGCATTCCTAACTAATTTTGTATTTTTAGTAGTGTCGGGGTTTCTCCATGTTGGCCAGGCTGGTCTCAAACTCCCGACCTCAGGTGATCTGCCTGCCTTGGCCTCCCAAAGTGATGGGATTACAGGCGTGAGCCACTGCGCCTGGCCTGTTTTCTCTTTTTCTATTCTTTGGAAGTGCTAGTGTAGGATTGATGTTATTTATTTTTTATGTGTTTGGAAGAATTCACCAGCCATCTGGACCTAGAGTTTTCTTTGTGGAAAGACTTTAAATTACAAATTCTATTTCTTTTATAAAAATACAACTATTCAGATGTTCTGTTTTATTTTTGCTAAGTTGTTTTCAAGGAATTTTTCAATTTTATCTAAAATTTCAAATAATTGCATGAAGTTCATAATATTGTCTTACCTTTTTTTGGAGGGGGAGAAACAGGGTCTTACTATGTTAGGCTGGTCTTGAACTTGTGGCCTCAAATGATCCTCCTACCACCTTTTCCTCCCAAAGTGCTGGGGTTACTGGCATAAGCCACCATGTGCAGCCAATCTTTTTAATATCTGTAAGATCTGTGGTGACAGATAATAATTTGTGCCGTCTCCCTGCCCTGCCCTGCCCTGCCCTCCCTCCTCCCCTTCCGCCTACCCTCCCTTCTCCTTCCTTTCCTCTCCCCCTCCCCCCCCTCTTTTTGAGACAGGGTCTCACTCTGTCAGCCAGGCTAGAGTGCAGTAGTGTGACCATAGCTCACTGCAGCCTCCACATCCTGGGCTCAAGTAATCCTCTCCTACTTCAGTCTCCTGAGTAGGTGGGACTATAGCCTTGCGCCATCAAGCCCCTGATCTGCTGTTCTTTTTTCAGCTTTTTCCCCCCACCTTCCTGAGTTGAGTGCTTAGGTCCAGGCTGGAGTGCAGTGACATGATCTCGGCTCACTGCAACCTCTGCCTCTTGAGTTCAAGCAATTCTCCTGCCTCTACCTCCTGAGTAGCTGAGATTACAGGTGTGCACCATCATGGCCGGCTAATTTTTGTATTTTTAGTAGAGTCAGGGTTTCACCAATATATTGGCCAGGCTGGTCTTGAACTCCTGACCTCAAATGATCTGCCTGCCTTGGCCTCCTAAACTGCTGGGATTAGAGACACGAGCCACTGTGCCCGGTCGGGTCATTGATTTTTAAATTCTCTTCTAATACACGCATTTAGAGCCATCATTTGCCTTCTGAGAACTTCTGTAGCTACACTTGACACATTTGTTATGTCACATTTCCATTATTATTACTATTATTTTTTGAGACAGAGTCTCGATCTGTCGCCCAGGCTGGAGTGCTGGGGCACGATTTTGGCTCATGCTATCTCCACCTCCTGGGTTCAAGTGAGTCTCCTGCCTCAGCCTCCCAAGTAGCTGGGATTACAGGCATGCACCACCACACCCAGCTAATTTTTGTATTTATAGTAAAGATGGGGGTTTCTCCATGTTGGCTAGGCTGGTCTCCAACTCCTGACCTCAAATGATCTGCCCGCCTCAGCGCCCCCAGACTGCTGGGAGTATAGGCATGAGCCACCATGCCTGGCCACACTTCCATTATTATCAATTCAAAATATTTTCTAATTTGACCTGAGTGATAATTTTTAGAGATATATTGCTTACTTTCCAAATATTTTATGACTTCCCTGCTATCTTTTTGTTATTACTTCCTACTTAATTCACTGTGGTCAGAGAACATATGAACATATTCTGTATGATTTCACTTCTTTGACGTTTGTTGAGACTTGCTTTATCATCCAGGATTTGGTCTATTTTAGCAAATGCTTCATGTGTATTTGAAAAGAGCCAGGCACAGTGGCTCATACCTGTAAGCCCAGCACTTTGGGACACTGAGGTGGGTGGATCACCTGAGGTCAGGAGTTCAAGACCAGCCTGGCCAATATGGTGAAACCCTGTGTCTACTAAAAATACAAAATTAGCCAGATGTGGTGGTGGGCATCTGTAATCCCAGCTACTCAGGAGGCTGAGGCAGGAGAATTGCTTGAACCTAGGAGGCAGAGGCTGCAGTGAGCTTAGATCTCGCCACTGTGCTCCAGCCTGGGCAAGACAGAGCGAGACTCCATCTAAAAAAAGAAAAAAAAGAGTGCATATCCTGCGGGTCAACTTTGTCAGGTCAAGTTTGTTAATCATGCTGTTCAAATCTTTAATATCTTTACTGATCGATACTTACACTGAATGACTAGATTTTTCCGTTTCTCCTTTCAGTTCTGTCATTTTTGCTTTATGTATGTTGAAGCTGTATTATTAAATACATTCAGATTTAGAATGGTTATATTTTCCTGGTGACTTGACCCCTTTATCACCTGGAAATGTCCTTTTTTACTTCTGGCAGTGCTTTTTGCCTTAATGGCTACTTTGTTATACAGATTAGCTTTCTTTGGTTAGTGTTTATATGGTATATCTTTTTCATCCTGTAACTTTCCATCTTTTTGTGTGCTTGTATTTAAGGCATGTCTCTTGTAACAGCATATAGTTGGGTTGTTTTTATGCTGACTGCTGATTTTTGTCTTTACCAAAACTCTCAGCGAAGTGTGATATCTACATAGAACAGTCCATAGATCATAAATGATAAGCTTTATGAATTTTCAGAAATTGAACACATCTTTGTTATCTAAACCCAGATCAAGATGCAACATACTGGCCGGGCATAGTAGCTTATGCCTGTAATCCCAGCAGTTTGGGAGACCAAGGCAGGCAGATCATGAGGCCAGGAGTTCAAGACCAGCCTGACCAACATGGAGAAACCCTGTCTCTACTAAAAATACAAAAATTAGCTGGGCATAGTGGTGCATGCCTGTAATCCCAGCTACTCAGGAGGCTGAGGCAGGAGAATTGCTTGAACCTGAGAGTTGAAGGTTGCAATGAGCCAAGATTGTGCCATTGCACTCTAGCCTGGGTAACAGAGCAAGACTCCGTCTCAAAAAAAAAAAAAAAAAAAAAAGATACAACATACTTCCTGCCTCCAAGACTCTTCCTCATGGCTCCTTCCAGTCCCTACTCTCCCAAGGGTAACTTTTACCCTAATTTCTAATGGCAGAGATAAACTTTATTATTTTTTTTCATACTCAGAAAAAATAAAACTATACAGAAACTCTTTTGCTTCTAGTTTTTTTTGCTAAATGTCTTATAAGATTCAACTATATTATTGCATGTAGTTGTAGATCAGAAAACCTGTGCCTTTTATTTGGAGTATTTAGTGTCAGTCACTGAAAAATATCTTTATACAGTATTAAAAAAACTTAAACGTTTATAAAGTAAACATAATTAACCCCCATATACCTAACATGTAGCTTTAGCAATAATTAACATTCT